CTAACCGAAACGAACCGTCCGTCCAATGGCAAATAAAAACAAATGAGAAAAAGTACATAGAGTTATAGGTTATTTTGAGAGTAACTCTTTGATAGATGCTGGTTATGTATATGTAGTGCCTCCACATGTATTCCAGCTCGCTTACAACTAACTTGGTTAAGCCCTTTCGATTAATCTATTTAACCAAGCAATAACTTATATGTACCATTATTTCTTATTGTCTGGTTTGTATGAGCTCACATGATGTGTTCCACTTGCTATTTGACCTTGTCAATCATTCGTAGCTTTTATTCATGTGTGCCTATTTCGCTTGTTGCATGTCTGTCTTATATTTGTCTGACTATATATTCTTAGTCATGCTCTATTTCTTTGAGTTGGCTCTTAGCCTTCTCCAATGCGCTTCGCCTATTCGTTCGCTTCCTTCGCTCATTCTTTCGCGTTCGACTTACACTTACTGGAAACAAATTGAACTGCTACGGTAGAAAATCCATTTACACCAGATATTATAGTCACGTGCCCCAACGTTGTTTCTTATTGGTTGTCCTGACTATCAGTGTCACAGAATTCGATGCTGTTTCCTATTCGACCAAAATATATAAATACACATTATCTGTAACGTTTTATGACCGGGACCCAGCCACGGATCCCTAGTCCGGGATCCTGGTCAAAGGCAAAGTTGCAATTCCGGAGTACTTCAAAGTTCTATTCCTTGAAGTTATATTATATACTACTGAATTCTTTTTTCCTAAATTCCTATTTCATGTATTACATATCTTAACTATCTCGGTTTCCACCTCCAAATCTCTCTGTTATCATGTTAAGTAATAAGGTTGCTACCACATCTTACACTGTAACAACCAGGAAAACCTGCAGAGTGTTACGGGAGAAATGAAGACATTTTGCTGATCAAAACCTTTATATAAATATCATTAATTTCACTGTGTTTTTTGGGTATATTTGTTTTACTTAACTTATGAACTTGTTTGAATGATTATTTTCGGCCATTTTGGACTCCTGTTTGTCTTGATTGTTCGTTTGCAGTTTTTTGCTCCAAGAATCTATAAAATAGAAGGTAATTGTAATTATTATAATTATTGTTGTTAAAACGACATTGGTCGTCTATTTGTAATAAACAAACACATTTTGGTCGATTATTTGTGAATTGGCAATAAACTTTGGTACCTACTTTGGAGTTTCCTTTTGGTTTAATCTTTGGGATCGTGAATTGCAAATAGATCGACACACAATGCTTCTAAGGATCAAAGAGCAAAAAATTGGACGTAACACAGAGGTATGAACCACGAGGTCAATAGAGGGTTGTTGTTAATCCTCAAGTATCTGTTAGCACTACGGAACAATGGGTGCAAGTGAAGAAGGGGAATGGCAACACCACAACTCACAAACAGCTACCACTCAAGGACATGGACCATAGAGTATATTCACCTTTTTTATTTAATGTCCCAGTGTCGGAAGATAGGTCACTAGATGGTAGGGCCGCTCTTGACAAAGAACGGTGGTGTAAATACTGAACAATCCTCGGAATAAGAGATACCTCAGCAAAAATGTGCCACTTTTTAATGGCCAGAACGTCTCGAAAAGGAAAACCCCTCCAATGAGGGTTACTCAATACTCGGCTGAAGACAACCTTCTCGCATCCCAAAAGCCATTGGTCAAATCATCCTCGCCGATTCGCATCAGGCATGATAAACCTTGGTTTGTACGAGCGGCAGCCAGGACAACACTAAGTATCCAAGAGCAGACCACTATGATAATTCACGGCTTACGTGAACTCGCTGGCGGTAGATAGGACGAAGCCCACGTGCACGATGTTCGACAGTGGTGATGGCTATCACTCAGTTTAGACCTTCACACCACGACGACTCATCTCATTTCTAGGTTTCCCAGCCCGTCATACCTCAGGTCCACTAAGTCACCACGTCTGATGGCTGTGACATTCAGGAACCGGGAAGACCTGACTGATGCACTTCAAGCTTGGTACCTTTCTAAGAACGACCTGTCTAGCAACATTAGGTGTTGCGAAAGCCAACCTAGATCTGCGAGTAAACTACAGGGAGGCCACGACAAACGCACAAAATTGACAGTTGACCTCGATCAACAACCACTGGCACAAGAAACGAAGATAATAGCATCGACGATTGAACTCACTGCACATGCAAAAAACATGCAGAGGCCAGTCCCCACAGAACTGACCAACTCGGTTTGAACAACATGTTTTGAATATCGGACAACGTCTGTTGCTTTATATGTGCAACAGGTGTTGAGACAAACCGCTAATTGCCGCCATAGCAACGTAAGGGGACTAAAGGGTAACATGTTAGAAATCAGGAATATGTGCTCTCAGATGGATTTGAATATCATAATCCTAATTGAAACATCGTGACTCTCCAACAATGCGGATGACGTACTGAGCTTGCAAGGCATGACACTCTTCCGAATTGATAGGGTACACCAATCAGGAGGCGGAGTGGCGATATTTATAAACAGCCACTTAAAAACCGAACGGCTATACAACACCCAACTAACTCAGGTGACAGAACCATATTGGTATTGTTTCCAGACGAATGGCACGAAATACTTGATTGGAGGAATTTACCGACCTCCCTCAGGGCCAGTAAAGCAAACTGACTGAGGTAACACTGCAACTGTCAGTCCTGGGGTTTGATCAAATACTCTTAGCTGGAGATTTCAATACTCCATCTCTAAATCTCAGCAGTCGGGGTACAACTCCCACTGGTTGGTTTCAAAAGCGACTTGGCGCAGCAATTAGACGCTCTGAGCACGTACACAGTGCCACTAGATGGACTAAGGAAGGAATGTCCTCAAACCTGGATTGTTTGTTAACACATGGTCAGCTCCTGGTTGAGGATGTTCAAGTCCATGCGCCAATAGGAAGTCGTGACCATGGTACAGTCTTTGTCATGAACGAAATATTCACACGGAACGAAAATGAGCCCTTTCTTTGATACACTAGGGCAAACTGCACACTTATGAGAGAGATAATACTACATGCCCCATCGCCACGGGAGTGGCGGAGACTGACAGTAGATGGGCAGACGGTGAGATAAGTCATCCAGAATTCTGTCGTAGACAATGTGACTTAGTCTTACCTCACACCCGGAAATTGGATAACATGGACAAGGCGTGGTAGTGAGCGCTTACTACAGGTGACGAGAAGAGTGGAAGTTTTCCTTGAAGGATTACTTGGCATTGAGAAACAGATGCAGTACCAAAGTTCGAAGTGATAGGAGACAATTTCCGATGAAGTTAGCTGCCGAAATAGAGGCTAAGCCCTAAGTATCTGTTTAGGTTCATGTCCAAAAGAAAACCTACGAATTAGGGGTTGTGTTCTCCCAAGGTACCGAATGGGGAAGACCTCACCAACCTGGAGATGGCTGGAATCTTCAACACAAACATTACAGATCAGTTCAGAATACTGCGCAAATACAGTTCCAGCTGACGGCTTAGGGAACGTCCGTATCTTTACCGACTTAATACTAAAGAAACTAAAATCCTTGCACCCAGGTAAGTCACCGGGTTTTGACAACATTCGCCCCATAGTCTTGAAAAAATATGCAGAAGTCCTTTGTTCACCAATATGTGACCAGTTTAGGCATTCAATGGAGTCACACAAACTCCCAGCTGAATGGAAACAAGCTACTCCCTCTCCAATCTTCAAAGGTGGAGATAGAAAGGACCCAGCCTGTTACAGACCAGTCGCATTACTACCAATACTATCCAAGGTAATGGAGGGGCTAGTGAGCGAACAGGTGGAGGAGTACATGGATAAGAATAAAACACTCCATTAAGCTCAACAGGGGTTTCGTGAATGCAGGTCATGGGCATCAAATCTTATCATATCATGGGACAGTTGGATATCCTGTTCGGACCGAAAATTACCGTTGCAAAAGCCTTTCGACTCATTACCTCACGCACGCGTATTTGTAAAGGTTGCGGAAATGGGCTCCACGGACACGGTCGAAACTACCCTGAGAACAGAAAATTTCGTACCAAGTTAAATAGATTGCACGTGAGTAGGCGAGCATCCACATGGGGAGTTTAACAGGAGACCATCTTCGGCCCACTTCTCTACAACTTGCAGCTATCAACCCTGAATTATTCCCAATATTATTTAAGACATACGCGCGCCCACACTTGGAGGTTCACAACGTCATCGCTCCCTCTCTGCTTAAAAGAGACATGAATCTCTTGGATCGAGTGCAGAGACGAGCAACGAAATGGGTGATAGGGTTGAAAAATAGACCTTACAGTTATGGACTCCAGCATTTAGGATTATTCCCACTGAGTTACATGAGGATAAGAGGTGATCTGATTATGGCGTACAACATATTAAACTGGCTGTTTATGATGCATATCTTGAGACCTGCTAGCTGTTATCATTGCCATCTCCCCAGATCACTCAATTAATCTATCTCGCTTATTATCTCTGTTTCCTCTCCCATGCTTACACTATAGTTCTCTCTCACAATCTTCACTACCAATTAATAAACTAAACTCACCTATATATTGCTCAGTTCTGAAATTTTATTCATATTATCATTAGAATTTAAGCCTTATTACCCTTATTACTCTCCACATTACAACTAACTGATCTCCGGTCTGGTAATGTGACGGCTGCTGGTATCCAGAAACCCTACTGCCCTGAAACAAACGTTTTCATTCAAATCCCAAGACATACAAACTCACAACCAACTGCCTAGAATTAGACAGTTGAGTGGCTAGACCTCCATCGATTCGACATAACCAAACACCTGGAACCGTACCGAAAGAACAAAGATGGAACGCAAAAAAACAACTGGTTTATACTAGCTCGTGAAAAGGATATTGGATATTGAATATAATGAGTCAGATTTGCTTTGTTCAAAGGAATCAAATAGAATCACGACTTTAACGCGCTGCGCTCAAAGTCTTTGGCGATTCACGAGAAAACACACGCAATTATGTCTTTGTGTAGACAAAACTATCATGAAGAGTGTGAAGCTGGAATCAATAAGCAGATCAACATGGAACTATATGCGAGCTACGTATATATGACAATGGCTTTTCATTTTCATCGTGACGACGTTGCTTTAAACGGCTTCTATAAATTTTTCCTCAATGAGTCAGAAGAAGAGAGACAACATGCAATGAAGGTAGTTTGATATCTTCCAATTCAAATTTCCGTAGTTAATGACCTATCAAAACATGCGAGGTGGTCGAATTGTATTGCAAGATATATCGGCACCTTCTCAACTCTCATGGAATTCAGGACTTCATGCCATGCAATATGCTCTGGAATTAGAAAAGAAGGTCAATCAAAGTTTAATGGAATTAGTAGCCACTGGCGAAAGACACAGAGATACTCATTTTTGTGATTTCATTGGACGTAAGTCTACTAATATCAGGTGTTATACATATGACGTTTCCAATTTTAAACTTCACTTTTCAGGAATATGTAACTATTTTGGTGTAGATTTCACCAGTAGTTGATCAACTACAGATGCTCATTTAATCAACATATGCGGATTAACTTATCCAAAAATTCTCAGAAAGAGTTCGCGTTTGACGACAAGCAGACAGTTGTTACCTAGCCACTGTAGTCACATACCTAGATCTTCAGTCTACTCCTAAACCAGTATTTTTCTTCATTACATTGTTTAGGTTAGCTGGAATTGTTAGTTGTCCTCATACTTTTGAATAGCATGCGAGATTACATTATTTCTAACCAAATTCTATCTTATGATGAGTGTGGAACGAAATCGTTCACACTAAAACAAGTGTTCTGCTCAAATTCTATGGTCTTCGCTATCGTAGAACGATGTGAAAACTTTGACGGGTACATCGACTAGTTTCTACGCTCCTGGTGAATAAAATCCATAACTGTTACTACAAGAAACGTGGTTGGTAAAGCAATGACAAATAAATTGTATATATCTTCGAATCTCTCAGACACTAAGAACTTAAGTTTCATTCTTTTAGATCCATGTTATATTAGTTATCACAGTACACCAAAATTGGTCGGTAACTTGTTAATGTATCGTAATTTTTGCAGCGAAGCTTCGGACTTCTACTCATTAACATTAATATTTTCATCCAAATATTTATTGTATAAATTCCTAAAATGTTATTGTTATTTTCTAGATGAATATTTGGAAACTCAAGTACAGTCAATTAAAAAGCTTTCTGAATACATCACTAATCTTAATCGTGTGGGCCCTGGTCTAGGTGAGTATACATTCGACAAGGAAACACTACATGGTGAAAGTCAATGATTTTGTATGATTAGATTGTTATGATAAGTTTTATGTAAGCTATTTTGTTTTTGTAAAATTAAAAATTTATACTACTGATTTGTGTATTCTACTGTTGAATTCAGATTGTTGTCTTGTGACGGACGTAATTAATTTCATTTTTCGTTAGTGATCTGAGTGTGAAAAAGTGTCCACAAGTTTGTAATTTATAAACTGGTTTTCAAAGTACTTTCAAATGAATATGATTTCGTAGTAAGTCAGTTTTGATGTAAAACGTGCCTTCAACTCCTAGTCCACTCCTCAACGAATAATTGCGAAGTGCGGATACTAATATTGATGTGACTAAGTGAACATTGTCACTTAACACAGTCATTTGCCTGATTCAAAGAGCCCATGACTGTGGATCATTTGTTGGTGTACTCAAACACTAATTTACAACTGGTTAGTATGTCCAAGACTTGATCTTGACAGTGTGGTTATTTCCGTGTTTACTTGAAAATGACATTTAAGCATTTCATAAGTGGTGGATACTGACAACAAAATTATCTCACACCATAAAGCACATTTATGATGAACTTTAAATTATGTACATTGCTAACCATGAAACAAAATACTAACAGAAATGTCTTACAGTCTCTTTTGTACATGTATTATTACACGGAGATTAAAGTATGCAGTTCGAATAATGTGTTTATGAGGTTGTTGAATAATCCAAGCAATTGTTAGCGATTTTAGCGTGCAACTATAACCGACCCGTATTACGTAACAATGGGACACGACAGTAAGTAAATACCAAGAGAAGCTGTCTAAATATTTGTGAATCATGATTGTTAAATAGAGGAGCCAGTTGACTGATAGACTTTGTTGTAATCTAAATTGAAGATCTATTTTGAAATCAGTAGTGCTACTACTACTATTTAGCGATTATCTTTGTATTTTAAAACTTACATACCAGTGGTAATTTGATGAGAGTGAGGTGTGATATATACCGAACTCTTTAAAAACTAGATATTTAGTTAGTCGGTTACTACGTAGAACCCAGTACGTACGCATATCAGTTACCATACCCTATTAGCCCAGAGATGCAATTGTCAATTCAAATGTTCTAGTGAAACAAGCTAGAAAGAAGAAAAAGGTTATGAGGAATTTAGGAGATTAGGATTTGAGAGATAGTATTCTTTTTTGGCAGAACCAAGAAATGTATCAGTTACGTCAAGAAGTTTCTAGGCTTCGATTAGTTGCATGTCGGAAGACCTACATCCACCAACTCCATAAACTAGTAACATGCACAGGTCCAGAAACCATTGATTTTCTCCAAGCTAATTTAAGATTTTAATTGATGGAAAGTGTAACTTCGAAAACTCAATCAGTATGTACGTTTTGTACAATCATGATAATGGCATTTTATTCGGTGAATCTAGCTGTTATGATCTTGGCCTTCCCTCTCATCTCATAGCTAGATAATGGTTTTGCTGAGTTACTAAGTTACTAAGCATAACGAAGCTGTGAATATATGGGTTTGATTTATAATTAGTTAGCCTCGATGGTGGAAAACTATCCTATTCGTTGGCGGATGGATGATTTACCATGTATACATTCCTCAACAAATCTAGCGAAAACCTTTTACATTTGGATTCACAAACAAGTATATACCCTAACGTATGAAAAATAAGGAGAGACAATATGTATCACATTAGGGAATTCGTAGTTTACATTAGTATGTCAGGTACAGTGGTTCGAAAAAAAACTAAGGTACGGCAACAATTATCAGTCAGACGAAAGTTGGAGATTAGGGTAATAGAGTGGAGGCATAATCTAACTGTTTTTAACTACACAACAAAACAAGAGTAATTAATTATGTCTCGATAATTAGGTTGCCTATCATGTCACGTTCCTAAATTTTCCTAGTTCTAACAGTAATGGATGTATACAGTCAATTTGCAACACATTTAAAACATTCGTCATGTAATTTATTAGAAAAGCGAAACCTTTTTATCTGTACTCAGTTGATTCACGTACAAAATTGTTGTACAGAATTAAAAAGGAATTCTGTATTGTCATAGTTGGTCACTAATATTTTAGTTCAGTTAAAACTCCTCATAAGTTGTTGAAGACTAAGTAAATCTCTAAGTCTATGTTACAAAATTGTGCGCTAAGATTTTTAATAGCCTGAGATCTGATTACGACTTTAGACAAACGATTAAACGTACTATTACGATAAATATTCCGATTGATCCTGTATAGTAACATTTAGGTTAACCGCGTTTTATGCGACGGCGGTGTTTGGAAGCCAAATACGGTTACAGTTAGATGAGTTTATTTTATGCAGTTGTTTACAAAGATAGACATTAAAAATGAGAACTAGGGGAACGAAATAGAGAAGGCAAGTGTGCTAACTCCAGTGATATTATACATTATAAGCGACAATATGACTGAATGTAGGTAGATAATAGAAGATATGTATTGAATAAAATAATGAGTGATAGACTCGATTGTCCAAGGATATGCGAGCAATGCTTCAAGGAGACCTATGATCAAATGCTAATAGCCTACGGATATCCCCTACTCTTACTAGTCATATCTGAAAGCCATAAAGGAGGACACAGTGCGATTCTGCACATTAGACTCGTACTTTGGTTAGCAGACGGATATTTCGCCTACTCCATAAAAGACGCAAGTTTGCAAAAGCTAGTCAGGCCTTCTGTATCCGTGCTGAGACTTTGTCAGTAACCAGACCATTAGCACTGTTGGTGTACTTCATTCGATTATAAAAGTTGCCACTGAACCTCACGATAAACAGTAAAACCCCACTGTAAGCTCAACGAATATAATCGCTATCGGACGTCGAAAAGTGTGTCTAGGACCTGACGAACTGTGAATATTTTGTCTGTACATCCACGTACAGGTCAGAAACCAGCCTAGCTTTTTCTAGTCTGTTCTTCACGCGCTCTAGTTAGGCGTTTTTAGTATTATTGAAGCCAATATCTTCGATTCTACATTAGTTAGACTGATTCCTCTGTGATTGTCACAAGAGGACTTTTGTCCTTTCTTGTAAATTGCGACAACCAGTAATTGAGACCAGTCGGATGGAATTACGCCCAGTTCCCAGAATCTACGTAAGATCCCAGTCAATCTAACTGCTAAAACTGCACCACTATCCTCAGACATCTCAGAAGTGAACCTGCTGCTCTCCCTCGCTTAAGATTTCCTATAGCTTTTTCAACTTCCTAGAGATTCCGAGGGCTTACGCTGACTTGCCATTCAGGATGACTGGAGATCGTGGGTAACCGAAGTGTGGCTGAAGGCCAGTTGAACTGATCCCTGAAGTGTTCTGCCCATCGATCCAATCTCCTGGATTGGGAATGAATAATAGTCCCATCCTTTAACGACATAGTCTCATTCACATTCGGTTTCCTAATACCGGTTTCGTTGATAAGTCGGAACAACTGTCTGCTGTTGCCCATCGCCGCTGCCTTTTCCACCGCTCTTGCTTTCGTTACCCAACACTGTTCGCTATCATTCCGTAGGCTTTTTATCAGCCGGTGTTTAAGCTAATTCCGTTCTTCATGTTTAGAGTCAGATGGGATGAATTTTCGAGCATCTATCAGTTCGGTAGATGCTACTGAGATCTAAACGTATGGTTTATCCTACCAGCAAATATCGCTGCTGTTTCCACAGCTTTTTGCATATTGTTCCAAGCTGCCTGGGGGTGGGAATCATTTATATGGCCGCCTAACTGGTTTTCAAATTGTTCCTGAAATATATTCTTAGCTTTGCTATCACTAGGTAGAACCCTAAAAGGCTTTTGTTGCAGCGTCTAGTTTTCCAAGAGATACACCTTGGTGCTGTCAAACCTGTCTACGATCAGCAGTAAAACTTCGCCCTCACACCTGAAGTTGCTTCTTCTAGTCATACTGTTCTCCAATCGACCTGCCTTGTATGGTAGAACTGACAGGAATACATGTTCTAGCCATTAGAGTTCGGTTGGGTCATCATCATAGGCAAGTCCGACCATCACGACAAGGTAACAGAATCACAAGGATATGGATGTAAGATGTATGCGCGCCGAAATGTCACAATTTCCTATGAAGGTAGAAACAAGTGAACTGATATTCACATGCTACGTGAATCATCAGTTTGTTCAACAGCTAGGATGTATCATACAAGCACATCGTGGAGATAAGCGCTACAAATTTATTAAATTGGCCAAGTTTATTTAAATACCACAATATTGGTGCTAAGGAATAAAATTTACAGCTAAATAAAACAATGTGAAACCACTACACAACATAGCTATAAACGATTAATTCAATAACCACTGACTGCTTCGACGAGCTTTGTTTTGATGGTTTAGGGGTACGTTGGAAAAAAACTAGGGTCGGCCAAACTAAAACATGGCAGGAATCCATGTTAGACATTAACACCGTTAGATACCGGCTCAGTGGTCAAACGGTTGGGGCGTTCGCACACAGTACCGAAGGTCCCGGGTTCGAATCCTGCGGGGTGCAGGAGCCGTGGATGCGCACTGCTGATGAATCCCATACCAGGACGAAACGGCAGGTTTCTAATGGTGGTCTAACATTGATGGATTCATGGTTTCAATAAAAATAAATCCATGAAGTCACTGACAAGTGAACAGAGACATGTTTGTGGGTGCACACTACCTGGTTGGAATCGGGCGAGATGATATTAACCGATGGTTAGCGACTTTAAATTATATAGCTCAAAATCGTTTGCAATGGCGCAGATGCATCCATTCTTTGTGTTCTCGCAAATTCTGATCTTTTGAATTACTCATCACCTCTATTTTTCTAACTTTATCTCACTGAATTATACTTCTTGAATCATATTTTCGAACCCTAGTCTTCTTCATTACTGCTAATACTTCTATTACCTCTACTACTATGGGATTGAAATTCACAATTCCATCTCTCTCTCTCTCTCTTTGTGCTAATGTGGTATGGCTACTTGGACTGATGTACGTGCGCACGTTCATACGATGTTTTACGTTGTCGCTGGCTAACAGACTGATTGATTAAGTTCAACAATTTAACAAGGTAACGACTGTTATCCATATATACTCATTCACAAGATGTCCATCAGAATTGAACGTTGAACAATTTCAATTCACCACATATGTATGAACCTAATGTTTCTTTTACTAATACCACTCTACATCTTTTATAGATATATTTTTTTTAAATCCATTTTTATAATTGAATAACATTTAAATACAAAATGCATAGATAGATAGATAGAAAAAAATTAGTTAAAAAAAAAAAGACAAACAAGTACACCTGTTTGTTTGTCAGTTTGTTTTTATCGTATTGTACAATTTCAACTTTTTTGATTCAATGCAATCATTTCCAATGATTTGATCAGTGCATAACGAGCTATGAAAGAAGAAGAATAAAATAGAGAGAGAGAGAGGGATAGAGAGAAGAAGCAAACAACAGAATTACATGAAGTCAATAAGCTCCTTCTCTCCCCCCGCCATCCTGTACAAATTGATAACACAGTCTATTAGAGGAATTACAGTACATGAATAAAATTGACTGACTGATTGATTGTAGAGTACACTTTGTTTAGGTGTACGGTTTGATTGATGACTAACTAGTTTGCATAAATCAATCAATCAATGTAAAGCAATGTAAAACTTTGTACGTATGTAGTACATTGGTTCAAGTTGTCATAACACATTAGCACAGAGAGAGAGAGAATGAGATGGAATTGTCAATTCAAATCCCATAGTAGGAGAGTTAGTAAAAATATTAGCAGTGATTGGAGAGATTAGGGTTCGAAGATATTATTCAAGAAGTAGAATTTAGTGAGATAAGTTTAGAAAGTCAAAACTTAAGGAGTTGAAGAATCCAGAAGATTAGGATTTGACAGAACACAAAGAATAAATGCACGTGCGCCATTGCAAACGGTCATGTGCCATGTCATTCAATATCTCTAAGCATCGATTATTAGCATCTCGTGGACACTTGTCAGTGATTTCTGCCATGTTTTGGTCTGGCCGCCCCTAGCTTTCTTCTACTACATCACAAAACATAGCTCGTCGAGGCAGTCGGTGGTTCGGCATACGTAACACATGTTGCAACCACCTCAACTGATGAAGTTTCACTACTTCATCTATTGATCTGTCATCCCTACCTAGCACCCGTTTCCTAACGATAGCGTCGCTTATACGCTTGTCCCATGATACACGAGCAATGCTTCGGAGACATCGATGACTGGCTACCATGAAACTGCATATCCTGACATTTTTCCACTGTCTTGTAGACTAGATCGTTTAAAGCAAAAGACTCCCAAGATAACAAACCAGCTAGTTCGGTTTTTTTGGCGTCCGAAAAGTACTCTATAACATAAATATTTAGATGCCTTTTTTGTATCGATGTTTACGTATTTCAGTAACATCTGAGATAATCATGAAGAGAGTTTTCTGTTCAGAATGCAACTTCAATCTTTTGAGTGAACCTACATGGATAGACATCTTTCAAGTGCATCTGTCAGAGTTTTAGAGAGAATATTTAATCGTTAAAATGTTTGTTTATACACTGTTTTGTAATCCGTTGCCGTAAATACTTTAGTCTTATAGTATATTAATCTCAAAACAAATAGCTTAGTGGTAATGTCGGTGTATATGACACCAGTCAGTCAGTCAGTAACATCACAGAAATCGGTGTGTAAATATATCAGTTCCAGGCGTTATACCACATTAACGCAGAGAAATCGGATTGTCAGGTTAAATCACATAGTAGTAGAGGTATTAATCGTAATAAGAGAGATTAAGGTTTGAAGATATTATTCAAGAAGTAGAATCCAGAGTAAGAAATTTAAAAAGAGAAAGATAAAGCTCATGAGGAGAATTCAGAAGATTAGGATCAGAGAGAAGACAAAGAACTGATCTACTTACACTATTGCAAAGGATTTTGAACCATGACATTCAAAGTCTCTATCTAACCACTGGTTAAGACTGTTCAACGAACCACAATCAAGTAGTCAGTCGACACCAATTGTTAGTGACTTCATGGATTTATGCCATGTTTAAGTTTGACCGACCTTTTAGCTTTCTTCCATCCTACCCTTCCTTATGACACATCATGTCATTCACGGCCTGCCAAACCACTCATCAATGGCCATAAACATTGTTTGTTACAGGACTCACACAAATTAATCCCATGTATTGTGGCGTTAACTTTCCTCTCTAACTTAATTCAACGGTTCAAACTAAATAGATGATGGGCCAAGATCGGTGCAGTTTCAGCTCAAAGAGATTCAATTGGAAATCAAGGTCATCATTCATGCAAATAATTCAATATGATTCAAACACTCCATTTTGTATTTCTCATACAATCAATCAACCAACCAATCAATCAGTAGCAGCGTATAACTTCGTACGTGTGTGCATACATCGACTCATGATGCCATACTACATTAGCACACACAGATGTAATTGTCAATTCAAATCCCATATTAGTAGAGTTAGTAAAGGTATTAGCAGTAGTCAGAGAGATTAGGGTTCGAAGATATTATTCAAGTATTCAAGTATGATTCAGTGAGATAAGTTTAGAAAGTCAAAACTTAAGGAGTTGAAGAATCCAGAAGATTAGGATTTGAGAGAACACAAAGAACGGATGCAGCGGCCCCATTGCAGACGGTCGTGTGCCGCCATGTCATTCAAGGTCTCTAACTATCTCTGACTTTCGTCTCGCGGATCTCAACCAGGTAGTCAGTCGACAGCTACCGGCGTGGCTCAATTCACTTGTCAATGACTTCACTGGATTTCTGCAATGTTCTCTGCCATGCAAATCATAATACATAACCAAAGAAAAATGGTAGAAACAAAAAAGATAAGAATCAACTAACAACTTACTGGATTCAACATTTTTACACTTTACATCATTATTATTACTATGATTATTATTATTAGTAGTAGTGTTAGTAGTATGTTTATGAATAATAGCATTGATTTCTTCAATCAGTTCTGTTTCTTCTTTATCCCAAAAATTATTCAATATTTTCTTTCGATCACAGTCACTGTTATCCTCATCGACATCACCGGTATCAGCCTGCTGCTGCTGATGTTTTATGGAAGAGGAGGAAGAGGTCGAGGAGCAATGATTCAATGTGTCCATATAATTAACATTCCATTTTAAGCTACGATGCATTTCCCAGCATAATTCTTCAATTCCACCATAGATAAGCTTAATATGAATGAATGAATGAGAAAAGAAATTCATCTATAAGAAATATGAAGTGTGTATAATTATTGTTGTAATCATTCAAATGATATGAAATGATCCCGACCGTAATTGCTAAACTTGACGTGGTGGTCGGTGATGATGAGGCTTGCCTATTGTGATAACTCAACCGAGCTATATATATAGGCTGGAACATATGTTTCTGTAGGTTCTACCATGCCAGGCAAGTCGATTGGAGAACGTACGGTGAGAATAAAAGCAGCTACTCAAGGTATGAGGGCGAAGTCGTACTACTGACCGTAGAGAGGTGTGACGACCAGCATCTGCAACGATTCTGCCTCCTCACAAGGAAGGAATGGGTTAGAAAAGGTCGACCCTTAAAATGTCACACCTCACATTGCCCCACGGATTTCCGTCTCCGGCGGTAAGGCCAAAACATCCCATAAACTGGCAATGCGTGACCGTCATCAAGCAATTGTCCCTTGGGCTCTGTGGCCACACTCCTATGTCGTTAAGACCAATCCTAATCCAATTTCCTTTCACGTTCCTCAAGAAAGTGACATCCACTCTCATACCCGTGACAATACATGAGACTAACTGATTATTGAAATGCTGAATCGATTATTGTTAGACCATCATTAGAAACCTGGAAGCATTGGATAGCCATCTCGTCCTAGTATAGATGCAGGGCTCAGTGGCCTAGAGGTCAAGCATTCATGTGCGATATCGATGATCATGGGTTCGGTTCCCTTGGGCCAGGGTCATGGATACACACTGTCCCATTATTAGTGTTAGTGGGACATTAATGTAATCAAAGCATGACTACGTTGCTACGCGCTGATTGGCTAATTGCCTATCCAATCAGCGCCTGATCGATTCTTGGAGAACAGGGTAGAAAATTCTCGTATTGTTAGCTGCATGCTGATTGGCTAAATCTAATCCAGTCGATCACGTGAATTTCTATCCAGAAGCTTCTCATGTAAATGCTATAAATAAACTAACGTTGTATCTATTTTTGTCTTCACCTTTGCCATCACCTCTGGCTTCTTATTTCCACTTAACCTTGCTATTTGGATTATAATCTTTTCCTGTTCAACCGTTTTTTGATTCTTGGGAAACTTGTCCAATGTATTGTGGTCAGAGAATACTAAGCAAGAGGATTTAGCTGCGAATTATTCAAGTGAACCGTTACAACAATTAGGACGACATTGATAGTGAGTAGGACGTCCCTAGCAGTGTGGTTATAGAGACATATGATGATAAGAGAGTGGAATCTCTCAATTCTCCGTTGTACCAAGGCATTTTTTGGAGGTGGATAAAATAAATTAGACCTGTCTGCTGGGGAGTCTCGAGAAGTGACGCCTCAAGAGGACCATGTGTTTCGATTTGCACTTTTGGAGAGAGAGAATATTTTACAACTATAACACAAATTTTATAATTTGTGGCACATAAATCTTGAAATGCCTCTTTGTACCAATGAAGCTTTACTTAAAACATAGTCAAAATGATAGTTAGATTATAGTTTGATGAAACATATCTCTCAGTTCAATGGATATTTGTGGTTCGCTGGAAATTCATATGTAACTTTTGTGTAAGTAATTAACCATAGGCAGATATGCCAATAGGTATGATGTTGTTTTTTTGATTGATATACGTAAAAATTATTACAAATGAGCACTTGAATATTTATGCGCCGTACAGATGATGACATAGTCCTATTTGGTGAAGATGCTGGCTGACAAAATGCAGAGTCTTCTGACTAGCCTAAGCAACAATGCAAGCATGTTCGGGATGCGGTTCTCATTCTCGAAGTGCAAAATGTTGCTTCAAGATTGGGTTGCATCGGCACCTAAACTAGTGATAGCGAGTGAATTAGTCGAGCGTGTTGATCACTTCACGTATCTGAGGAGTCTCATCAGTGCTGATGGCCTGGTGACTGACGAAATCTCAGCTCGGATACAGAAGGCTCGATTGGCTTTTGCCAACCTGCGTCACTTATGGCGTAGGCGAGATATCCGCTTGCTAACCAAAGGACGAGTGTAAGGTGCAGCAGTTCGCTCCGTCCTGCTTTACGGATGTAAAACATGGCCGTTAAGAGTAGAGGACATTCGTAGATTACTAGTCTTCAATCATCGATGTCTCCGAAGCATTGCCCGTATAAGCAAGTTCTAGGTAGGGATGGCAAATCAATAGATGAAGCATTGAAACTTCATCAGTTGAGGTGGTTGGGACATGTGTTACGAATGCCTAACCACCGACTGCCGTGACGAGCTATGTTTCGCAGTGTAGGAGTAGGTTGGAAGAAAGCTAGGGGCGACCAAACCAAAACATGGCTGAAATCCATGAAGTCACTGACAAGTGGACTGAGTCATGTTGGTAGATGTAGGCTATCTGTTTGGGTTCCACGAAACCATAGTCACCAATGGTTAGAGACCTTGGACAACATGGCTCAGAATCGTTTGCAGTGGCGCAGGTGCATCAACTCTTTGTGTTCTTTCAAACTCTAACCTTCTGAATTCCTCATAATCTCTATCATTCTTCTTCTAAATTTATCTTACTGAATTATACTTCTCGAATCATATCTTCGCTCCCTAATCTTCTCGATTGCTGCTAATGATTCTACTATCGCTATCACTTCTCGATTTGAACTGACATTTGCGTTTCTGTGCTGATGTGGGTATGGCAACCTGAACTGATGTACTTATGTACAAAGTTCTGCGGTGTATCTGTCTGTCTGTCTATGCACCTGATAAATTAGTGAATTTGTGAGTTGGGTTAGGATATAGCTCGGACACTAAAACCAAAGTAGATGGTTTCGTTAGAGGGTTGTCACCATTAAACAAGTCTTTCACTTAAAAGGGTCCAGTAGTCGTCTACAAGACAATGGAGAAATTGTTAGCGGATGAAATTTCATGGTAGCCGGTCATTAAAAATAGATTCAAACGATATTTGTTCCATCAGGATCATGGAATCCATATACACTAGTGGTTTGAAATCAGGACTTTTCTGGAAGTGGTGATACACATGTGACTGTTGGGGACTTTTTGATCCCCAGAACTCACTTGGGAAAGGTCTTAATTTTTTAATTTTCTTCTGAAATTTCGAATTTCCATGTTTTCGTGCCAAGAGACGATTAGTTGACTTACAGCTTACATTTTCCACTCAGAAATTCATTGACTATCATTGGTTGATGGATTATTTGAGAAGGCTATTTTTTTGGCTCTCACCAAGGGCGTTGCTATCATTGTATAAATAAGTCTGATTTGTGTGCTTAGCAATTTCGAATTTTCTGGATACTTGTAGAACACATTCTCTATTCCTTATCATAACTTCTTGATCTAGTTAGCAGGGCCAGGGACAAACGGATTAGAATAGCCTATCGTCTCACTGCATCGTTGACCAACGTTCCATTTACAGCGTAAGGTGAACTCGTAATAGTTTCAAGCGTATCAATTAGCGAGCATATCAGTGACCCATATGAGAGCACTTTAACAGAGAGAGCATGGACTATCCACACTTTCAGGCCATTTTTTTAATCAATCATGCAGAAACACTAAGAGCTTGCTTATATTTCATACAACAGTACATAAATACATACATTAGAAACCTGGACGGTTGCTGCATCCTCGTATGGGACTCATCAGCAGTGTGCATTCACCTGTTCCGGTGTAGACAATAACTACCAAAGACAGTGCATGAGGTTACGCAAGACTGTGAATCGATCGACATTAGACACTAACACCATTAGGCGTTCTTGCACAAGACCGAAGGTCTTGGCTTCGAATCCTCCGAGGTGCAGGAGTCGTGGGTGCGCACTGCTGATGCATCGTATACCAAGACGTAACAGCCTTCTTTCAGTGCTTCCAGGTGGTCTAATATTGTTCGATTCATAATTCCGAATGTATAACCTGACAATCTTCACAACCACGTACCACATACATACATACATGATTGTACAATTCACTGGATAACAAACAATGAAACACAAGAACAACAACGATAATTACTTACAGAGATATCAAAGGCGAAACAATCCACTTCACATAGTTTATCACCGGGTAGACTTGGTAAATTTAACTTGACATCATTTTGATCATCACGGTGAATTGCTGACAATGCATGATCAACACTGCCACTGCCACTGCCACAACCACCAACCAAACGATTGAATGATGCCATTTCAATGTAAGGAATTTCATTTGACTGTTGACATGAATCATTATCTTTGAATGATTTGATTTTTAAACCTTTACGTTTAGTACTGTGAGAAGAAACATAAAGGATAATTAATATACATATATATATATTTTTGAAATCATGAATCGATCAATGTTAGACCACCATTAGAAACCTGGAAACACTGAAAGACGCCCGTTTCGTCCTGGTATGGGACTCCTTATCGGCAGTGCGCATCCACGACACCTACACACCACAGGATTGGAACCCAGGACCTTCGGGTACTGTGCGCAAACGCCCCAACCATCGGACCACTGAGCCGGTATCTGACAGTGTTAATGTCTAACTTGATCAATTCACGGAGTTGCGCAACCTCATACACTGTATACATCCGAACAGGTTTGAACTTCACTGGTCACCTCTTCCCACTAGGACTCGGAGAAGATTCCCCACGAAGCTAGTCATTAGTGAGCACAGGTAATTTGCATTACGGGGTTGTGAAGATTGTTAAGTTACACATTTTTTGAAACCATGAATTGATCAAGTTAGACATTAACACCGTTAGATACCAGCTCAGTGGTTCGATGGTTAGGGGTTTGCGCACAATACCGAATGTCCTGGGTTCGAACCCTGCGGGGTGCAAGAGTCCTGGATGCGCACTGCTGAGAAGTCCCATAGCAGGACGAGATGGTCGTCCAGTGCTTCTTCCAGGTTTCTAATGGTGGTCTAACATTGATCGATTCATGGTTTCAAAAATGTGTAACTTAACAATCTTCACAACCCCGTAGTGCAGATATGAACATGTATATAATATCACAATGAGATGGGAAACTAATCAAACATTTTCATAAATGAATGAATGAATGAACGGAAGGGGCTAAAGAAAAATGATACAATGCTAGACATCGATGAAATGATCATGATCTTGAGAGTATTTAGTGAATAATATTGTAAATGTGTATTATTTTTTAAAGGTTCAGCTTACTTTGACTGAAAGATAAATTAGTTTGACATAGTTATGTTCCAGCTATCAGTCAGTCAGCTACAAGGTAGAACTTGGTACATATACACATCAGTTCAAGTTGTCCACGAGAGCAAGGATCGAGGATCCAACGACATGATAGGCTATCCTAATTCCAGCGTTCTAAACCCCCTTTGAGTAAAAGAAGAACACTTACTATGAAGTAGAACATGTATTCTATAAGCATCCAGAAGGTACAAAGTCTGTGTCCGGAACAGAATGAGGATCCTGGACTGAGGATCTGGGTCCGGGTCATAAAATGTTACAGATAATGCGTATTTATACAGTGAGGTTGAATAGGAACCAATATTGAAGTCTGTGACATTGACAGTTAAGACAACCAATAGGAATCACCAATAGAATCAGACTTGCAAACAATTATCTTAGGATATTGGATAAATATCCTAACAATTATGTAATCTTTCTTCAAACTATGATTCCAATTACATCGCTATGAAATCATAATTCAGATTTCATGTTGTTTTCTTGTGATTTTCTTTACCAGAATAAAGTTAACGTATTATTTAAAGTAAAGAGTTGGTTGTGAGATGTGTTACGCATGCTCCACCACTGACTGCCTCAACGAGCGATGTTTTGTGGTTTAGGAAAGTAGGTTGGAAGAAAGCAAAGGGTGGACAGACTGAATTATGGCATAAATTTATGAAGTCTCTGACAACTGGATTGAGCCGTGTTCGTAAATGTAGGTTGGGGTCCGCGAAACGATCGTAACCACCGATGGCTACAGACTTTGAATGACATGGATGAATATCGTTTGCAATGGTGAAGGTGCGTCCATTCTTTGTCCTTTCTTGAATTCTAATCTTCTAAATTCCTCATAACCTTCATCTTACACTTTTTCAACTTATTTCACTGGATCAATACTTCTTGAATATAATATCTTCGAACCGTAATGTTCTCCGTTAATGCTAATACTTCTACTACCTCTACTACTACGGGATTTGAATTAATGATTGCATCACTGTGTCCTAATGTCGTTTGGCAACTTGAACTGATATACATACGTACATACGAAGTTTACCTCTCTTGCTAACTGATTCTTAAAAAAGAAACTGTTTAGACGACTTCGGTTTTCAAATTTTTTCCATCGTCAGTGTCTTTTTATTCATTCACATATACATGAGAATTTGAGCTTTAATGAAAACTTGCCAAATGTAAACTGCGTATCATCATTACAATCATGAATCGTTCAATATTAGGTCACTAGTAGAAACTTGGGATCGTTGAACGGTTTAGTTCGGCCGTGTATGAGACTCTCATCAATGGCAGTGAGCATCCACGACCCTAAACACGAGCGAATCCAATCAATGATCTTCAGTTTCATACGAAAAACATTGAACCTCTAGACCAATTGACTAGACAAACAATCATCTCATTGTCTAACTCCAACGGAATCCAAACTATTACACGACCGCTGTCTTTGGTTAGGGTAACTACCTCCCTCATATCTGACACTATTTCAACTCCACAGGTTGCAGTTTCTCACTAGAACTCGCAGAATTTCCATTCGAAGTAAATTACCGGTAAGAACATGATAATTAAACTCCGTCTGGAGCTAATTTGATGCTAACGACGATCCCAAGCTCAGATAAACGTGGAGGGTAAGCCACCCCATCCTGTAGAAAACTAACTCACCAAAAAATATCCTAAACATGATAATTTATTCAGTATGAAAGTTGTACAGATGATGGAGTTTCATTGATTGGTTCATGCTTTCAATGAAAAACACAACAATCTACACAACTATCTCTCTCTCTCTCTCATATCTAAAAATATACAATCGATAAACATGTTGTTTAGCAAAATGGTAATTTGACACTTTCGATAGTTAAGTTGTTTACAAAGAATTTAGTAAAATAGAAAACAGATAACGGTATCATTGTTACACTCTAGTGATATTCATTAAGGTTCAAAGGTCAAGTCAACACCATAAAAACAAATACAGTTGCTATTTCATGTAGATGCAATCGTTAAATCGATTTAAAAAAAAAGGTGGGATTTTAAAACAAATTGTCAATTTGGGTCACAACCTAACGTGGGAATAATCCTTTATAAAGTGAATACAACTGGCTTAATCAAAGGTTTGGATGAAGAATTTGTACATACTTGAAGCCATGGAAATTTTCATCACTCCAAACTCAACTTCCCTCATACGGTCTTACCAGGCTTTTTAGATTTTTACAAATTACTAACGTAAATTATTACCTTCATTCAACCTTTCTCTTCCTTTACAATCGAGACAATTATTTTTATTGCATAGTAATTACCGCTTATTGCTTTTAAAATTATTACATAACGTAAGCTTGATAAGAAGAAGGATTTGAATTTGACCAATTTGATCTCTCGTGTACTGTTACGGGTATGAGGGCGGTTGTCACTTCCCGGCTGCTCACACTGTAGAAGGTTGTTTGTTGAGGGACCTGAAAAGGGAGATAGATTAGTGTTGGTCTTAGAAACCTGGGTGCGTGACCGAAGAGTCCAAGGGACAACTGCTTGAGGCCGGTCACGCACGGCCTTTTTATGAAAGGTTTTTTTAGTATTAGCTCCGCTCTTAAAAGCCCCTTGTGGGCACCCTTACCGCTGGAGACGGAAATCCGTGAGGTAGGGTGAGGTGTGACATTTTTAGGGTCGACCTTCCTTCCTTGTGAGAAGGCAGCATCGCTGCAGATGCTGGTCGTCGACCTTGAGTAGCTGCTTTCAGTCTCATCGTTCTCCAATCGACCTGCCTGGTATGGTAGAACCTTCAGGAACATATGTCCCAGCCAGTATAGCTCCGTTGGGTTATGACGATAGGCAAGCCCGACTACCACGTCAAGGTAGCAGCTACGATCGAGACATAACGTAAACCCCTTGATGATTGCTTTGATTACTTCGGCAAAATGATGTAACCCATTTTTTACTCAATACTTGAAACGTCATCATAATAATCATGCGCATATTACGTCACACTACTTCATTACCATTGTCTTCCATTTATAGGGTGATAAGTGGCAAACTTTGCTCTACTTTACGATAGACTATTAGCCCACATAATTCGAGTCCTGCTAATAACAGCAGTTGTGAATGCCCACTGCTACTGATGAGTCTCATACCAGGACGAAACAGCAATTCACACTGCTTCCAAGGTTTCTCGAATGGTAAAGGTCTAACAATGATTCATGAGAAAAAAAAAACAATTAACCCCCAAAATACGATTGTCAAAATAAAAAAATTTAAATTCACTGCAACGTGTTCTCGGTTGTTTTTTTTGATGAATCAGTCACAATTGAACTTGTTTTTGGTTTAGAAAAAGTTCATAAATGATCATTATTAATTTGACTGGAAAATTAAATGACCCGCATCAAATGATTTAGATAAGAACAAACAACTTCTTTATTCAATAACAATGGGTCAACACAGTCGTTATGATGAATAAATGTCGATAGTTATCACATGATGATATATAGAAAAGATAGATCATGTCATCTTGTAACGAACGAACTTATCAATATATGATCATATATACATACGTATATAGATGGTAAATGGAAAAGAGGTAGACCAAGAAATACATTTTGCTGAGAAATAGACAAAGGTATTGGACAGAATTGGAAAGTGAAGCCCAGCGTCAGAGTAAGTTACAGAACACTAGTCTATGGCCTATGCTCTGTTCAGAGGATGGGTGACAGGCGTAAGTAATATAGAATTCGATTCATTGTTATTAATATGACTGAAAATTGATTGGTTTGGTTTGGAGCATATAGGCATCAAATGCGGATTAATTTATCGGTCAGCTACAACGTACAGCTGCATACGTACGTAGTACATTAATTAGTTCAACCTGTTCGGGTGTAGGCAGTGTCTACCGAGGACTGTGTATGAGTTTGCGCAACTCCGTGAATTGATCGAAGTTAGACATTAACACCGTTAGATACCGGCTCAGTGGTCCGATGGTTAGGCGTTCGCGCACAATACCAGAGGTCATGGGTTCGAATCCTGTGGGGTGCAAGAATCGTGAATGAGCACTGCTGAGTAGTCCCACACCAGAACGTAACGGCCGTCCAGTGCTTCCCGGTTTCTAATGGTGGTCTAACATTGATCGATTCATGGTTTCAAAAATGTATAACACAGAGAGAGATTGAATTATCAATTTGAATGTCAAACTATCAGAAGTACCAGCGATAGTCAAATTAGATCAGAGTTCGAAGGCATCTTTGAAGGAAGAAATATATTTCAAAAGAACCAGTTATGACATAAGTTATTGTAGAACATGGTTAGTAGTGAAATTTTATACGCACGTTTTATTCTGTTTGTGACTACAGTCAGTTAGTCAGTTACAACGTAGAACTTCGTATGTACGTACATCACTTCAGGTTGCCATAGCACAGAGATGCAACTGTCAGTCAAGATACCATAGTGGTAGAGGTAGGGTAAGTATTAGCGGTAATGGAGAAGATTAAGGTTCGAAGATATTATTCAAGAAGTATGATTCAGTGAAATAAATTAAGAAAGAGAAAGACAGAAATGATGAATAAATCGGAAGATTAGGATTTGAGAGAACACAAAGAGTGGATACACATTCGCCATTGCAAACGATTTTGAGCCATGTCGTTTTAAGGTCTCTATTCATTAGTGACTTTTGTCTCGCAAACCCCAACCCGGTAGCCTGCATCTTCTAACACGACTGAGTTCACCTGTCAGTGATTTCATGAATTAGTGCCATGTTTTGGTTTAGCCGCCCCTCGCTTTCTTCCAACATACTTTCTTAAACTACAAAACATCGTTCGCCACTTATCAACCCCAAAATGGAAGACACTGGAAACGAAGTAATGTGACGTAATATACTCATGGTCATTATAAGGTTTCATGTATTAACTAAAAAGTGGGTTACATCATTTTGGCGAAGCAATCAAAGCAATCATCAAAAAGGGGTTAACGTTATGTAATAGTTTTAAAAGCAATAAGCGATAATTATCTATGCAATAAAAATAATTGTCTCGATTGTAAAGGAAGAGAAAGGTTGAACGAAAGTAATAATTTGCACTCATAATTTGTAAAAATCTAAAAAGCCTGGTAAGACCGTATGAGGCAGGTTGAGTTTGGAGTGATGAAATACCATGGCTTCAGGTATGTACAAACTCATCATGCAAACCTAATTTTCAAGCCAGTTGTATTCACTTTATTTCCGCGTTAGGTTGTGACCCAAATTGACAATTGGTTTTAAAATCCCATCTTTTTTTAATCAATTACACGACTGTATCTAACAACTGTATTTATTTTTATGGTGTTGATTTGACCTTTGAACCTTAACGAATGATACCGTTATCTGTTTTCTATTTAACTAAATTCTTTGTAAACAACTCAACTATCGAAAGTATCAACTTATCATTTTGCCAAACAGCATGTTTATCGATTGTATATTTTTAGATATGAGAGAGAGAAAGAGTTGTTTAGTTTGCTGAGTTTGGTTGGAAGTATGAACCAATCAATGAAACTCCATAATCTCTACCACTGTCGTGCTGAATAAATTATATCATGTTTAGCGTATTTTTTTGGTGAGTTAGTTTTCTATAGGATGGGGTGGCTAACCCTCTGCCTTTATCTGAGCTTGGGATCGTCAATAACCCCCTGAAGAGCTCCAGGTGAAGTTTATTTATCATGTGTTACTGGGGTAATTAACTTTGAGAGGAAATTCTGTGAGTTCTAGTGAGAAACTGCAACCTGTGGAGTTGAAATAGTGTCAGATATGAGGGAGGTAGTTACCCTAACCAAAGACAGCGGTCGTGTAATAGTTTGGATTCTGTTGGAGTTAGACAATGAGATGATTGTTTGTCTAGTCAATTGGTCAAGAGGTTCAGTGTTTTTCGCATGAAACTGAAGATCATAGATTGGATTCCCTTCTGTGAAGGGACGCGGATGCGCACTGCCATTGATGAGAGTCTCATACAAATACGAAATAAACCGTTCAGTGATTCCAAGTTTCTACTAGTGACTAAATATTGATCGATTGGGGATTCTAATGATGATACACAGTTTACATTTGGCAAGTTTTCATTCAAGTTTAAATTCTCATGTACATGTGAATGAATAAAAAGACACTGACGGTGGAAAAAATTTGAAAACCGAAGTCGTCTAAATAGTTTCTTTTTTAATAATCAGCCAGTAACAAAGTAAAACTTCGTATGTACGTACGTACATCAGTTCAAGCTGCCAAAAGAAATTAGCACAGAGTGATGCAATCATAGATTCAAATCCCATAGTAGTAGCGATAATAGAAGTATTACCAGTAATGAAGAACATTACGGTTCGAAGATATATATATTCAAGAAGTATTCATTTTTATGGACCGAAAAGAAAGACATTGAAATCATGAACTGATGATCCATGATAGACCACTATAGAGAAACCTAGAAACACTGAATAGAAGGTTTCATCCTATAGCATACGAACTCATCAGTGGCAGTGTACATTCACAACCTGAAAAACAAGCGGGAAATTCAATCATCTGCACAACCTTTATACTGACCCTATGAAATCATCTGTTTGCTTCAGAGTGAAATCAATCAGTCATAACGAACAATGGTTTGGAACACGAAAAAAACAAAAGCTTCACAATATAAGAAACGAATAAAACTCTAAATATTAAAATAAGAACAACTAGTGAAGAACAAAGAAGGCAAAGTAATCACCGATATTAGAGAATAGCGAAACAGGTGATGGTTAGAACACTTTGAAGAATTCTTGGATAGACAGACAGATACAACGCAGAACTTCGTACATAAGTACATCAGTTCAGGTTGCCGTGCCCCATCAGCACAGAGACGCAACTGTAAGTTCTAATCCAGGAGTGATAGAGATAGTAGAAGTATTAGCAGCAATAGAAAAGATTAGGAAGCGAAGATATGATTCGAAAAGTATAATTCAGTGAGAGAGAAAGATAGAGATGATGAGGAATTCAGAAGGTTAGAATTTCATAAAACACAAAGAGTGGATGCACATGGCGCCATTGCAAACGATTCTGAGCCATGTCATTCAGGGTATCTAACAATCGGTTACAACCGTTTCGTGGACTCTAACCAGACAGTTTACATCTACCAAAATGACTCAGTCCACTTGTCAGTAACTTCATAGATTTCTGCCATGTTTTAGTCTGGCCGACCCTAGCTTTCTTCCAACCTACTCCTACACTGCGAAACATAGCTCGTCACGGCAGTCGGTGATTAGGCATTCGTAACACATGTCCCAACCACCTCAACTGATGAAGTTTCAATGCTTCATCTATTGATTTGCCATCCCTACCTAGAACTTGCTTATACGGTTTTCCCACGAGCAATGCTTCGGAGACATCGATGATTGAAGATGCAATGTAGAACTTCGTACGTAAATACATTAGTTCATGTTGCCATACCACATCAGCACAGACAGATGCTACTGTCAATTCAAGTCCAATAGTAGAAGAGGTAATAAAGGTATTAGAAGTAATCGAAGAGGTTAGGATTAGAAGATACTATTCAAGAAGTATGATTCAATGAGATAGGTTCAGAAAGAAAAAACTAGAGGTGTTGAAGAATCCAGAAGATTAGGATTTGAGAGAACACAGGGAATAAATGTCTACTAAGGCACTGAAAGCAGACAAAGAAGTAACTGCAAAGATACTCCACACTCTCTTCAACAAGATTTAGAAAGAATAACATAACAATAATCATCTCATTGTTATTGTAAAAAAAAGCACCAAAATCATTTTACTTACCAAACAGTTGATTGTTGTACACTAGACAATGTATTTACAGAGTCTGTTTGTTGTTGCTGTGGTTGCTGTTGCTCGGATTCAATTGGTTCTTCTGTGAAAATTTCCCAATTCGGTAAACCTATAGGTCTAGATAATACAGGGGCTGTTCTATTTGTAGGTAACTACAACAATAAAACACAATAAAGAAAAGATTCTTCTTTTTATGTTTTTAACTATCCAACTATGTTATAACACAAAGCTACTATGCTGGCACCTTAGGGGTTAATGTCTAACTTAGATTGATCTAAGGTTTTGCGCAGCCTCTCACAATCTGTTCGGTAGGCAAATGCCTAAACCTAACATGGTTGAATTCCATTAATCACGGTTTCTGACTAGAACTCCACGAAGTTAGTCACTAATGAACACATTGCATAATATTCATTAGAGTGTTCTACAGATTGTTTTTTCTCATGGAAATCATAAATCAATACCAACAGCAGTGCGCATTCATTACGAGTCCACAATAGAGAATCAAACCCAGGACTTTTGGTCTTGTCTTTGAACACTTAGCTGATAGATTACCTTGACGTGGTGGTCGGGCTTGCCTATCGTCATGACCCAACCGAGCTATATTGGCTGGAATATATGTTCCTGAAGGGTTGTTCTACCGTGCCAGGCAGGTCGATTGGAGAACGGTGAGACTAAAAGCAGCTACTCAAGGTCTGAGGGCGAAGTCGTACTGCTGACTGCAGAGGGGTGTGACAACAGTAAGGTGTTTCCCTCGGACAACCAGCATCAGCAGCGATGCTGCCTTCTCGCAAGGAAGGAAGGGTTAGAAAAGGTCGACCTTAAAAATGTCACACCTCACCCTACCTCACGGATTTCCGTCTCCTTGGGTAAGGGTGCCCACTAATGGCCTCTGAGAGCGAAGCTGATCCTCAAAAAACCTTTCGTAAACAGGCCATGCGTGACCGGCCTCAAGCAGTTGTCCCTTGGGCTCTGCGGTCACGCACCTAGGTCTCCAAGACCAACACTAATCTATTTTCCTTTTCAGGTTCCTCAAGAAACAACCTTCCATGGTGTGAGCAGCCGGGAAGTGACAACCGCCCTCATACCCGTAACAGCACGAGAGACCAAATTGGTCGAAATCAAATCCTTCCTACACCCACACATACCTCTCTTCTCGACTGACTACTGAATCGGTATTGATTTATTTTAATGTCTCACTTTAATTAATCCATGATCTTACACAACTTTTATCCATCGGAGTTGGATATTTATCTCCTATTTGAACGTAGAGTGAACTACAGTCGATACGGATTTATTTATCGTACATAATCACAACATATTGATAAGTACCTCAATATATGAAGTTCAATAGCTTCTTGAAATCTATATACTCTATTGAATAACATGATCACGAGAAAAGTAATAATTTATGAATAGCTATAACTTAATATTCATTACAGGGGTCGTGAAGAATGGTAAGTTACACATTTCTGAAACCATGAATCGATCAATGTTAGACCAGCACCATTAGAAACCTAGAAGAAGCACTGGACGGCCGTTTCGTCTTGGTATAGGACTCCTCACCAGTGCGCATCCACGACTCCTGCATCCCGCAGGATTCCAACCTAGGACATTCGGTATTGCGCGCGAATGCCCTAACCGTTAGACCACAGAGCCGGTATCTAACAGTGTTAATGTCTAACTTGATCAAATTCACGGAGTTGCGCAACCTCATACACAGTCTTCGGTAGTTACTGCCTACACCCGAACAGGTTGAACTTCACTGGTCACGTCTTCCCACTGCTGAGGAGTCCCATACCAGGACGAAACGGCCGTCCAGTGCTCCCAGGTTTCTAATAGTGGTCTAACATTGATCGATTCATCGTTTCAGAAATTTATAACTTAATATTCACAGCTTCCAATTACTTTCTTTTCTGAAAAAACCATTTATCATAACTGGGAAAAAAACTTGTACCACAGAAGAAGCACAATATCCCTGTGAACGCAAAACTAACAATACTAGTCAACAGTCTACCATCTATCATTCTAGACCGATGACATATCAACTAGAATAATGGACTATCGACGGAGGTCGCAATTATTATGCGATTAATTAATATTAATAATGCGTATTTGGTTATTTGAGAGTTGCTGGTATATATGTACAACCCTGTGGCTGTTTCGAACTTTTTAGATAAATGCATAACCCAATGTCGTTTGAAACCTAAAACAGTACTAATTTCAGGTCTTACAGTGAACATTAATGCTAAGATGTAAGTACATTCAGCGAACAAGTTGTCAATAAGGCAGAACATACAACCTAGATCCCACTACAAGCCAATTATCCATCTACGAGAATAGGAATGTTATTACAGCTTTCAGAAATAGTATAACCAACAGAAATATTCAACAGATAAACATATATACACAAAGTTTCAATTGAACCAAATATTTTCTCTACATTCAATGTATTCAATAGGGAAAATTTCAAAACACTAAAATATACTACTAACAAGTAGTATGAACTAATTCATGAAAAAAATAAACCGCCACTAACACAATTATCCGATGGACCTACAAAATTTTCTCTATCATCTCAAACCTATCATCATTTAGTTGACCTAAATGAGATAATTAAAGACTTTCAACCAAAAAGAAAACACAATTGATGACTAGGGTGTGGCAAACACAGTGGTGTTGGAAGAAAAATTCTTACACGAAATTTACAATAATGGATGAAAACATACATCGCTGACGATGATGATGACCCTAAGGGAATATGAATACACTTTGATGATGAATTAAAAAGTGTTAAGACAATTGAGTGAAGAATGTGTGGATAGAGAGAAGAGAGTGAGAGAAAACCAACCTCATAAACATTAAAATACAACAATTACTCAAGGCAAAATAAATGGACGTGAGAGAGAGAGAGTGAATAAATTGTGTAAGTACACAAGAAAGAACATGAAAAGAACAATAATTCACGTATAAATATGTATAAAAGATAATAGATAACCGTTTTTTTTAAATAATAAGGTATGGGTATACATTTTATAAGAAAAAAAATTAACGTTTTTTTGTCCTTTCGTTTCAACATGGATAACTTTATTTGTTAGCGATGAAAATTAGGATTAAGATCACGTTGGGATTGGTACTGGACCCATGTGTGTTCATGTATTTGTATTTAAGTGCTACTTGTTACGCCTGCACGTAACATAAACACGTCAGCTTGATATACTTGAACTATTACGAGTTTACCCCTTAGTCGGAAAATGAGAGCGAGGATCGAGGATCCGGTGACACGACATGCTACTCAAATCCGACTATCCCAGTCCCCCATATTGAGTAAAAAATAAGAAGACTTGATATGAAGTAGAACGTGTATTCTACAAGCATCCAGAATGTACGAGATCCGAATCCAGAAGAGAATCAGGATCCCGGACTAGGGATCCGGGACCGAGCCCTGGTCTTGGTCGTGGTCATAAAACTACTATTCACTAAACGAACGACCTATCGCCACATTCAAGTATCTCATTTGGATGATTTATTTACAAGTTATTCAAACAATGCTAGTGAGTTTAGTTAGCTCATAATAGTGAGGTAGAGAACATTCATAATAGGTCAGGTTGTAGTGAAGGAGAACACAGGTGGGGCAACCGAAATTGTATTTAACGAAGATTACAGAGTTACTCAGTAAAATAGGAAAACCATATCGTAAATCGTTCATTTGCAAAATATCAGTTCATCATATCGAACTGGACTGTTCCTGTTGCAAAACATCAATCCATTGTCACTATTCATGCGTTTCATACAAATTCCATGGTGTTCTTCTAACTCTTCCTTTCTTGATCTTCCCCATCTTCTGTTTGTCCATAGTTGTCCATATGCAATGACATAAGGAAAGAAATATCAGGGCGTTTGATTTTGTAACTGATGTTCACCCAAACGAAGCTGTAGGGGATGTCCAGTTTGTCCTATGTAGTGTTTTTCACAGTTTATTCTGTGTCATTTTGACCTATGATTTACATAGGATTTTTCAAGCAGTGCTTTGAAGGTTTGTGATTTTACACATTTGAAATCATCAAAAACTCTGCCAGGAAAATATTGTAACAGTGCTCACACTAGTGAATAGCAGCTTCGTGAGGAAATTCTCGGAGTTCTAGTTGAGAAGACGTGACCAATGGAGTTCAACCCTGTCAGGTGTAGGCAGTAACTACTCACCGAAGATAAATGGATGAGGTCACGCAAAATCCCTTGATCAATCAGAGTTAGACATTAACACCGTTGGATTCCGGCCCACTGGTCCGATGGTTAGGCGTTCGCGCACAATACCGAATGTCCTGGGTTCGAATCCTGCGAGGTGCAGGAGTCGCGGCTACGCACTGCTGATGAGTCCCATACCAGGACGAAACGGCCGTTCAGTGCTTCCAGGTTTCTAATGGTGGTCTAACAATGATTGATGGATGATTACATAAGATTGATTGAAGTGATTCTGTTAAAGTGTGTTACAACAATTACAAACAGCTTCAATAATCTTGTTGTTTCAATTGCCAACATGTCTTTTTTTTAAATAATGGTAGGATGATCCGTTTGTTGATTCCTGTTATTGATTTCGTTTCTGCTAATGGTAGAGGTTATTATTTTTTTTGATGAAGTTGCGTGGATAGCTGGTTGAGGTCCGCGAGATGAAAGTCACCAATGGTTAGAGACCTTGAATGACATGGCTCAGAATCGTTTACAATGGCGCAGGTGCATGCACTCTTAGTTTGCTTTTTAATTCTAGCCTGAATTTCTCATTATTTCTTTCTCCTTCTGAATTAATCTCACTGAATTATACTTCTCGAATCATATCTTGGAACCCTAATCTTTTCCATTGCTGCTAATAATTCCACTATTGCTATCACTCTGGAATTTGAACTGAGAGTTGCGTCACTGTGCTGATGTGGTGTGGCAACCTGAACTGATGTACTTATGTACGAAATTCTGCGTTGTATCTGTCTGTCTGTCGTGGATAGGTGTTCTTATTCTAATCATCTTTCGTGTTTTTATTCACTTGAATACAGTCTATACTCAGTTGATTTTATGAGTTGGCTGACGATATACTCGAGACCTCACTTTCTCTTTGTCAGTTCCAGTGATTTGTTTGTGATTTGATGTCTTTTTCAATAATGACTTTTGAATTGGTGAGTAGGGGCATATACATTATTTAGCTATCCTACTGTATGAATATGTATGTGTATTTAAATACATGAACTCAACTGAGGTAAAAACGGATACCTGAAGTTTTATGCTCCATACAAGTTCCTGAATTGGTCAGCCGACTGAGACACTTACTGTTCATTCTCACCACATTGTAAACAACACATATGCCACGAGAGAGCAGTGAACCAGTTTTGTGTGACAGTGGCTATACACACGTGACCATTTTAGTCAGTCAGTCAGATGCAACGTGGGATTTCGTACGTACATACGTACATCAGTTCATGTTGCCATACCAGATCAGCACAGAGATATAATTGTCAATTCAAATCCATTAGTACAAGAGGTAGTAAAGGTATTAGAAGTAATCGGAGAGGTTAGGATTAGAAGATATCATTCAAGAAGTATGATTCAATGAGAAAAGTTTAGAAAGTCAAAAGTAGATGGGTTGAAGAATCCAGAAGATTAGGATTTGAGAGAAAACACAAAGAATTAATGCGCCGGCGCCATTGAGAACGATTTTGAGCTATGTCATTCAAGGTCTCTAACCATCGATTATTATCATCTCGCGGACCCCAACCAGGTGGTAGTCGACAACTACCAACATGGCTAAGTCCACTCGTCAATGACTTTATGGATTTCTGCCATGTTTTGGTCGCCCCACATGGTCATTTGAGAGTATATGAAGCGGAATAGCAGCAAGATCTCTTCAATTCACCTAGTATCACTGCAATCTAAACAGCATTGCGTAATTCTATGACGTAATCACTAGATAAGAGGTAAATACATCGGACATCGGAAAATTACAAAAAAAAAAGGAAACAGAACACAAACTAACTTGAACATTATTCCATGCAGTTGGTTCCAGTTGATTTTCTTTTTGCCATGATGATGGACAACCAACAGGTCGAATAAAATCTGCGGTATCCACAATTGGTAAATCACGTATTAGAGTGGAATTCTCTTTTGCGCATGATAAATTATCTGGTTTTATTTGATAATTTACGTTTTTATTCAATCGATTAGTTCCAGTTGAATGTTGAGTTGTTATTGTTGGACCAAGACCTGATTGATTTGCTTTATGAAAGTGGAAAAGAAAGAAATTCAACATACATAGCGTTGTAACTCTGCTACGTATAGCTCTTCAGTCCTAACGGCGTCCAATTCAAATATCCCAATACGACCCAAAATGCTATTTCCGAATCTCCTATATATCAGAACGCAACACAGTGAAAGGAAGTTGTTTATTGGGTCGAATACAGAAGAAGAGGTAGGCAGGGGAAACGGAATTATTGAGTCTTTCAGATAGTGCATATTTATACACTAAGGTCGAATAAGAAACAGCATCAACGTCTGTGACATTGACAGTTTAGGCCGACCAATAGAAAAGAGCATTCGAATGACATTGACATTCCAGATGACCAATAAAAATCAACAGTGAAGTATTTGACCTTGACGGTTAGAACGATCATAATTTCAGCCAATAGGATTGTACTTCTAAAAATAGTATTCTTAGGATATTTGGTGAATATTCTAACACATAGAGATAGATGTTGAACAGATTGGAGATTGATTTGCAGTCAGTCAGTCAGTTACAATGTTGAACTTCGTACGTGCGTACATCAGTTCGTGCTGTCACACTACATCCCGTAGTGGTAGAGGTAACAGAAATATTAGCGGTAGTGAAGAAGATTAGGGTTAGAAAATATTGTTCAAGAAGTATAATTCAGTGAGATAAAAAGATAAAGGTGTTAAGGAATTCAGAATAGATGATGGTTGTGGTGGTGGTGTTTGGTTGTCTGAGCTGGTTGTTTTGGTTGTGAAGCTTTCATTGTTCTTCTGAACAACATCTATCTGAAGTTTGTGCTGATGATGTTGTTCAGAAGAGAAATGAAAGTTGCATAACCAAAACACTCAGCTCAGAGAACCAAACACCACCCAGCACCACAATCATCCACCTGAGCTGCAAATCTTCTCCACCATCTCAGAATAGATGATGGTTGCATGATATTATGGACTTGTTCTTGGGCGGCCAAACTAAAAACATGGCACAAATAATCCATGAAGTCAGTGACAAGTAGACTGAGTCATGTAAGTAGATGTCGACTACTATGTTTGGGTCCACGAGATAATAGTAACCGGTGGTTAAAGACCTTGAATGACATAGCTCAAAATCGTTTGCAATGGCGCAGGTGGATCCAAATTTTCTGTCTTCTGAATTCCTTATCACCTCTATCTTTCTCTGTTTACGTTTATTTCACTGACTTGTACTTATTTAATAATATCTTCGAACCCTTATCTCTGCGATCACTGCTAATACTTCTACTACCTCTACTAATATGAGATTTGATTTGACGATTGCATATCTGTGCTAATGTGGTATGACAACTTGAACAGATGCACGCACATATGAAATTCCACATTGTTGCTGATTGACTGATAAATTTTATTGAAGTTAGACACCAACACTTTTGGATATAGCGAACTCAATAGTTTAGAGGTAAGATATTCACTTGCAAAATCGGTTTTAGTTTGTATTCCCTTGTGCAGCGATCATGTATGTGCACTGACTCTGATGAGTCCCGTGCTGAGACGAGAAGCGCAGTTCAGTGTGTTTTTAGGTTTCCAATGGTGCCTTAACATCCACCAGTCACTAAAGCTTAACAACTCAGAGAATTCAATGTCACTCAAATCATCCACCATCGCGAAATCATATGAGTATAACATTTCCAAATTGTTGCGACAAATTGCTCTCTGTTCCAATTATACACGATTCACAGTAGATATGAGTAGTAATTACTAATGAAACAAATGATTTTAAATCATGAATCAATCATTGTTCGACCAACATTAGAAACCTGGAAGTACTGGATGGCCATTTCATCCTAGTATAGAACTCTTCAGTGGAGCGCATCTACGACACCGACGAGCGGGAATGAACACCAGCAGCTTCGGTCGCGTACACAAATGCTTTATCTCTAGATCGGCTGGGAAAGTATCCAATATATTTTTAGCACCAAAAAACAACAATCTCCAAATTTTTATAATGAATATCGAAAAATGTGCTCTCACTAGTTCTGGTGAAAAGACGTGACCGGTGGGGTTCATCCCTGTTGGATGAAGGCAGTAGCTACCGAAGACAATCGGTTAGGTTGCGCATAAACTTAGATTGATCAAACTTAAACATTAACACCGTTGGATGCCGACTCACTGATCTCAAGGGTTAAGCGTTTGTGCACTAGACCCAAGATCCTAGGTTCGATTCCTGCGTACGAAGGTCGTGGATGCGATGCATATTGCTACTGATGAGTGTCATACCACGATGAAATGATCATTCAGTGCTTGATAATTAAAAATGATTTAAGTCTTCATCTCATCATCAACATGGAGCAAGTCAGTTAAACTATTGTGCAAAAACACAATAGCACAAAAATAATCGTTGAGAAATATAGCTGATTAATAAATAAAGGATTAAAAAACTTACAACGCCACATTTCGTTAGTTCGTAACACTGGAGCAACAAAACTATGATTCTCTTGTGTACCAACAGTTTCAATTAAACGTAATGATGCTAGTTTTTTTCTTGTATTACTACTGGTATCATTATTTTCTTGACAAGAATTATCTAACGTCGTCATTAATGTATCATCGGTAGATTTTAAATAATATTGATATCGATGAAAGAAAGCTCTAGAGAGAAAAGAGAACAGAAGAGAAACAAAAATGTGAGGGACATTTGTCAAGTTAGGTGTTGTGTGCTTTTATGGGTATGAAGGTGGATGCTACTTTTCGGATGCCCATACCATGGAAGGGTGTTTTCTTGAGGAACCTGAAAAAGGAAGGTAGAACAGTGTTGGTCTTAATGGCCTGAGAGTGTGACCACAAAGCCTAACGGACAACTGCTTCAGGACGGTCAAGAACGAAGTTTTTAAAGTGTTAGCTCAGCTCTTCAAGTGATCTTACCGATGGAGACGGAAACTCGTGACCTTCTCAAACCCCTCCCTTCCTTGTGAAAAGGCAGCATCGCTGCAGATGCTAGCTGTCCTACAGAAACATCTTACTGCTGTCACATCCGTCTGCACTCACACCTTGAGTAGCTGCTTTTAGTCTCATCGTTCTCCAATCGACCTGCCTGGCATGGTAGTGTGGTGCGAGCTACTTATAAGTAGTATATGACGTGAGTGTCAACGTAATGTCTGGCAGCAGAAGATGGGGGAAGAAGATCAAGAAAGGAAGAGTTAGAAGAACACAATGGAATTTGTATGAAACGCATGAATAGTGACAATGGATTGATGTTGTTTGCAACAAGAACAGTCCAGTTCGATATGATGAACTGATATTTTGCAAATTAACGATTTACGATATGGTTTTCCGATTTTACTGAGTAACTCTGTAATTGTCGTTAAATGCAATTCGGTTGCCCCACCTGTGTTCTCCTTCACTACAGTAGGACCTTCAGGAACATATGTTCCAGCCAATATAGCTCGGTTGGGTCATCGCGATAGGCAAGCCTCATCACCCACCACATCAAGGTAGCAGCTACAGTCGGGATACTTATGTGATTCCTTTTTTAAGTTAACTAAAGAAAAAACTATTGAGATAATGACAGTGTGACATCCATCTCATAAAATATTGTGATTCATGTTTTTGTGAGTGTTAGGGTTAGTGGATTCTTGAATTAGGGCCGCTACTCATTCACTATTAGTTTTTTTGGCCTGTGAGTTGACTTCAACTATATTGATGAACAATGAAATATACCAAGAAAAAAATCCTCTCTACAATTTCGGTATATCCTAGTTAGGCGAACGCCAGGCGGTAATTAGAAGCCATATATGGATTCTATTGGATGCTTTTATTTCAAGCTATCGTTCACGCAGACAGACATGAGAATACAAAGAGTGAGACAGCCAGAAAGAGGTGAAGCGAGGATGGCGAGCAATGTAACTTCATGCACAATAAAGCATGACTTTATGAGTCAGACAAAAATAAGCAAAGTAAGCGATGGACATACACACACCTACTCGAATAATTGACAAGGTCATAAGATGTGTGTGATTAGTAACTCGGATAGAATGGATTGATTAAATTGTTCAAAGATTGAGTATCAAGCCCTGTGGGGCTCGACAAAACAGTGTACACACATACTACAATGGATATATAACAAAAAACATCGAAATAGGCATACACTACAAAATTATTGATTTTTTGAGTGGATTGGGAAATATACTGTCTATACATCCACACTAAAACAAATGGTTAGAATCTACTTAGAAAAGTCATTGTAAGAGTCTTGGACTGACTGTTCAGTGCTTCTGCACTTCCATCGCTAATCTAACATAGATCAGTGTACATGATATTAATGTCAGTCAGCCTCTCGTGATGACCCAACCGAGCTATATTGGCTGGAACTCATGTTCCTGAAGGTTCTACCATGCCAGGCAGGTCGATTGGAGAACGATCAGACTAAAAGCAGCTACCCAAGGTCTGAGGGCGAAGTCGTACTGCTGACTGACTGCAGAGGGGTGTGACAGAAGTAAGGTGTTTCTCTTGGACAACCAGCATCAGCAGCGATGCTGCCTTCTCACAAGGAAAGAAGGGTTAGAAAAGGTCGACCCTAAAAATGTCTCACCTCACCCTACCTCACGGATTTCCGTCTTCGGCGGTAAGGGTGCCCACTAAGGGCCTTTAAGAGCGGAGCTAATACTCAAAAAACCTTTCATAAAAAGGCTGTGCGTGACCGGCCTCAAGCAGTTATCCCTTGGGCTCTGCGGTCACGCACCCAGGTCCCTAAGACGAAAACTATTCTATCTTCCTTTTCAGGTCCCTCAAGAAACAACTTTCCACGGTATGGGCAGCCGGGAAGTGACAACCGCCCTCATACCCGTAACAGCACACGAGACCAAATTGGTCGAAATCAAATCCTTCCTACATGATATCAATACAAATCAAACAATCTTCACAACCACATATATTGATTGTTAAATAAATCTAAGGGGAATTGAGAATTTTTTTTTTCTTTCAAGTGGTTTAAGGTATTAATAATGATAATGATAGTAATAATAATCCCACCAAGCATGAATTCATGTCCACAGATCATTAATCTCAATTTTTACTAACATGAACTGGTTGATTGCATGCCATAATTGAGGCGGAATTATTTCTCACCGAAAATATACAAATTATTTTTGAAGAATACTTTGAAAATATTTATAAAAAACTATTTTAGTGTAATTATTGAGGAACGAAAAAAAAACGGTACGCTATAATTTTTTTGGAAAAATAATTTTAAGAGTATGCGAGTAATATTTTTGATATATTGATTTCTCCCTGAATAATTATTAGGAATTATAGAGATTAGTGTTTATCACAGTGATGAAATCATGAATCAGTCACTCAATCAATCAGTGAGCATGCTACACGCTGGATAGATGCCGTACCCATTGCAGACCAGCGGGCAAGAACAGTGACCGAAGTGGTGATCCGGCATATTGTAGCGTGCCATGGAATACCGAAAATGATATTAACGGACCAGGGTCCCTGTTTTGAAAGTGACGAGTTTAAAGACCGTCTAAAACAGTTTGGTATCATGAGGATACGAATTACACCCTATCATCCTCAGACAAGCGGGCTTACAGAGAGAAACAACCGGACGTTAAAGGAATGGTTAGCATCTAAAGGAGGAGATTGGGAGAAAGAGTTACCATTGATTTTGTTGGCGCATCGTTCCTCCATACAAGGAACAACCAAGAAATCACCCTTCTCGCTGATGTATGGCAGACAACCGCGACTTCCATTGCACTATAAGACCTGGCCACAACAACAATGTTAAGAAAAGAGAGGAGGGAGGCAATCAGGAACGTGGGAAAGCTACAAATATCAGACATAAAGAAGGCGGAACAACAGAGGAGAAGAATGTGGAATTCTTTTGGAGTGGGGGACCTAGTAAAGTGTAGAGAACAAAAAAGTAGCATAGCAGGGGGATCAGGGTGGGGAAAGCTGATCCCAAAATGGGACGGACCGTACGTTATCACGGAGAGACGCGGCGTACACGATCCGGAGAGAAGACAAGCAGAAGCGCGTAAATGCTAGTCAACTGCAGAGATGGTTTCAAGATTATCCAGTGTATGAGTCACGAAAAGCACCAAAGAAGACAGAGGTACGGCGATCAGAAAGACTACGATGACAGCTTATTAAAAGGGGGGACGAGTGTGGTGAGAGATACTCATAAGTAGTATATGACGTCAGTGCCAACGTAATGTCTGGCAGCAGAAGGTGGGGGAAGATCAAGAAAGGAAGAGTTAGAAAACAATGGAGTTTGTATGAAACGCATGAATAGTGACAATGGATTGATGTTTTGCAACAGGAACAGTCCAGTTCAATATGATGAACTGATATTTTGTTTTACTAAAGTGCAAGTCATAAACTCATGAATATACCCTTATTCTTACACTAACACTTATTCGCAAACCTATGGATGTACCTTAAGTGTACATATCCTAGCAATTCGCAACTTGAGAAACACTGGCATATAGGTGTCAGTCACATTTTAGCCACGTGCATATATAAGCAACCAATATGTGATTGACTCTGGATTTTTACTTTAGAGAGATAGGCTTTTTTGGTCTGTATTCAAATAGTTGTTGATGGAATGGAAACTTTTGTTGAACGGACCTACGTATTTACTAACACTGCATCATCCATGTCTTTAAGAAATTCTTTTTGAGAGACTCCTGGAAAGTCACTTAAATTAACTCAGACGATGGTGAATTCCGCATATTAACAACTCGTAAACGGTAGAAGGTGTGCTTACAGTCTGCTCTGCTATGTTGTGACAATAGTTTCTGGATACTGCTGTTACGCCTGCACGTAAACACGTCAACTTGATATACTTGAACTATTACGAGTTTACCTAGTCGGAAAACGAGAACGAGCATCAACGATCCGGTGACACGACATGCTACTCAGATCCGATTATCCCAACCCCCATATTGAGTAAAAATAAGACTAGACTTGATATGAAGTAGAACATGTATTCTACAAGCATTCAGAAAGTACGAGGTCCGAATCCAGGAGAGAAACAGGATCCTGGACTAGGGATCCGGGGCCGAGCCCCGGTTCTGGTCGTGGTCATAAAACGTTACAGATAATGCGTATTCATACATTTTGGTCGAATAGGAAACAACATCGAATTCTGTGGAATTGCCAGTTAAGACGACCGGTAGGAAGTAACCAAGTCCGGATGAACAATAAGAGACAACATTGAAGTATTTGACTTTGACAGTTAAAACAACCATAATTTTGACCAATAGAAATCGACCAATAGGATTTGACCAATAATTCTCTTAGGATATTGGATGAATATCCTAATAATTGCCCTTTAAAGGGGGTGTACGTCTGGTCTTTCATTGAATAAGTTACTTGTAGGAATAGACATCATTTATTTTGGGAATCCGTTCTAGTATTTGATCACCCAGTGTGGGAACCAGTATATAACAGGGTTTCTGTTTGCCTTTTAATTTTGCGCTCTGCTTTTTTCTCTGATTAGTTTCGTAACCAATTTTCAGTGAGTTCGCTCAGTTTCATGTAATTACCTTGGATTTCTAAAAGTTCCAGCTAAAAGTCTTATTGTTTGTGTTACATAGTCCACACCATAAGTTGATAAGCGTGATGATTCGAACCCGTGGTTTTGTCTATCTACTCAGTTTAGTCCAATTCATTCCAGCGAATAATCAATCTGGAAATCGTTTGCAATGGCGTAGGTGTATCCACTCTTTGTGTGTTCTATCTAATTCTAATTTTCTGAATTCCTCATAATCTCTATCTTTCTCCTTCTAAATTTATCTCACTGAATTATACTTCTCGAATCATATCTTCGCTCCCTTATCTTCCCCATTGCTTTTAATACTTCTACTATCACTATCACTCTTGGATTTGAACTGACAGTTGTGTCTTTGTGATGATATGGTATGGCAACCTGAACTGATGTACTTATGTACGAAGTTCTGCGTTGTATCTGTCTGTCTGTGCATATCTACGTACAATGATTGATGCATGATTTCACTGTGATAGAGAACAATCTCCATAATTCTGCAATGAAAAATCGTAAAATGTGCTTACTAGTGACTAGGTTCGTGAGGAAATTCTCGCCGTTCTAGTGAAAAGACATAACCAGTGGATCTCAGCCCTATCGGATGTAGGCAGTTAGGTACCGAAGACAATTGGGTGAGGTTGTTTCTAGCCACTGGGTTATGATTATATCACACGAACTATAATCAGATAGTCTACACTTACACTACTAACATGGATCAGTACACTTATCAGTGACTTGAAAGATCTGTACCATATAGTGGTTTGGTCACCTCTAACTTATTTCCAGCCTACCTATACATTTGACATTCCTTACCGAGGGAAACCGTGGTTGAGTTTATGTAACACACATATCAACCAGCTCAACTGATAAAGATTCATTACTTCATCAATTAATTTGCCATCCTTAGCTAGAACCCTTTTCCTAATCCCAACATTGCTTACTCGATAGCTCCAACATATACAAGCAGTGCTTCGATGACATTCATGATCGAATACTAGTTAGCCAAGAAGACTGTTATGATTAGTCAGACTATAATTCATGAATGAACCAATCAACGAGTCTTAGGCATTGCGGCGCGAATTTCATTCATGCTGATGGCTAGACAGCATTTTGACAGTATAACTGATGTCAAGTTTCTGACGAAAACCCAAACTTATAATTTCCCATTGTATATTTAAAACCTCTCTTTACACCTTGTTAAGCAGACTGATTTTCTTAAGGTCACATCGGTATCACTTAAATGTACCCCATAAATTATAGTCTCGTCTGTTAATTTTTTTTTCCCAGGACAGAGTAAGTTGGAGAACACCGGTCGGCGGCATATGTTCCATTGGTGAATGACAGGGGTAAGTAAATTCCTAATTCAGTGCAAATACTTATTTATAAGTATATAAGTAGTATATATAGTTATACAAAAAAAATCACAATTAGTCAAATTTCAGCTGGCAATCAAGGTGATAAGACAATAAGTAGACTTTATCAGCATTGTTTTATTTTTCAAGAAATTTCTACAAAGAATTCATTGAACTCATTAAAATAGTTCTGTTTTATATTGTAAAGTTGTCGAGATTTATCGTTTAATTTAGAAAAAAAAACATGTTGAAGGTAGCGCGGTATTCAGAATCACATCAATTTAAAACTGACTGACGATTATGATGAAACGTTGCATTGGGCTACAGTTTTCCATTGGCCCCTGTAATGGTTTTTCTACATGGTCACGCGTGTATAACCGCCGACTGAAAGCACCTACTTATTGCCTCTTTGTGACAGACAAACAGACAGAAACAACACAGAACTTCGTACGTACGCATATCAGTTCAAGTTGCCATACCGTATTAGCACACACGCAACTGTCAGTTCGAATCCCATAGTGGAGGCCATAGTAAAAGTATTACCAGTAATGGAGAAGATTAAGGTTCAAAGATATGATTCGAGAAGTATAATTCAGTGAGATAAATTTAGAAAGAGGTGAGGAATTCAGAAGATTGGAATTTGAAAGAACACAGAGATCGGATGCATCAGTGCCATTGCAAACGTTTCTGAGCCATGTCGTTTAAGGTCTCTATGCATCGATTACTATTGTCTCGCAGACCCCAACCAGGTAGCAGTCTACAATTACCAAGATGACTCAGTCACCTGTCATTAAAATAATGGATTTCTGCCATGTTTTGGTCTGACCACCCCAAGCTTTCTTACAACCTACCTCTACACTACAAAACAAAGCTCGTCGAGGCAGTCGGTGGTTGGGCATACGTAACACATGTCCCAACCACCCCAAATAATGAAATTTCAATACTTCATCTATTGATCTGTCATTCTTGCCTATTTATTCTCAATAGCGGCGTACAGTTAAACTTGGATTTGTTGCACACAAAATTGTTGTTAGTTTACTTGACATGACAAGATGACGTAAACACAAAAAGAAATTTTGAGAATTGTACTCAAAACGATTAAGGCATTAAGTTGTTTCAAGCTGTTAGATGTGTATTCTGGACAGTTTTCATTGCCTATTAAGGCTACACACAACAGTAGGAAAGGTCTGTTGTTTCGTGAATGTAAGCAGCAGTATGACTGTAGTCATCAAATTACAACTGGTTGCAATTAGTTACATAAAAATCTTTTTATTTATTTATTTACGAGTACTAACTTCTTACTTTACAGACATGTGGGAGTATTGTTTTGAGATAGACAGACAGACAGATACAACGTGGAACTTCGTACATAAGTACATTAGTTCAGGTTGCTATGTCACATCAGCACAGAGACGCAACTGTGACGCACCTGCGCCATTTCAAACGATTCTGAGCCATGTCATTCAAGATCTCTAACCATCGGTGACTTTCGTCTCACGGACCCCAAATTGTTTTGAGATGTTGCGTAGTGTGTACTTAAAAAGTCGAGCCCATATGGCTTAGTCTCAGTCTTTGGGAAAAAAATCAATTAATCCGTTCTACTTGAGTTATTCACACATTTTTCGAACTTGTCTATAACCTACTTTGGTAGTTTTTATTCGTGCGTGTATGTATATATATATACATGCCTATTTTGCTGATTACATATGCCTAACTTATTTTTGTCTGATTCTACAAACAACAACACAGTTAGTCATGCTTCATTGCATTGAGTTGGTCTACTACTACTGGCCTTCTTCGTTACGCTTCACTTTCTCAGCTTTTCAACTTGTCTGTCTGCCATGAACGATTTGAATGAAATACACTCACATCCAATTGAATCCCCAATATTTGACTTCTTTTGTTATTATTGTAGTGATCAAGTTTGTCTAAATTGTAACAATTTGATCAAGTTAATATTGATTGGAAAAATTTTAAATCATTTTTAAGGTGAGTTGATTGAAGAACGGCAACACTAAAAAGTCACAAATTCATAGATCGAGCAACAAAAAAATGTCGTATCACTTTATTGACTGTATTGAGGAGATGTAATGATATATAGAGTAGTTCATTCAGTTGGATAGCAAGCATCTACAGTGGATGATGTCTGAGATAACAACAAGTTGCATATGACTGACAAGGTGGATCTGATGCAGTTGTAAAGGCACGGATCGGCAAATCAAGGACAGAATTTTTACAATTCAACAACATCTGGAACTCAAAACAACTTTCAACAAACACCAAAGCCAGAATTTTAAGTACAAATATCAAGACAATTCTACTGTATGGGGCGGACACATGGAGAACTACCAAAGTCATCATTCAGATGATTCTAGTATTCATCAACAGTTATCTATGACACAATGAGAAACAACCTATTGTGGGAGAGAACAAACCAGATTTCAGTGGAGAAGGAAATCAAACAGAAGCGCTGGAAGTGGGGATAGGACACATATTGAGGAAGGCATCCAACTGTGTCATCACAGGCTCTTAGCTAGAATCGTCAAGGCCAAAGGATAAAGAACACATTACACGGAGAAATGGCGATAGACATGATAGGCGCCGGTGCATTTATTCTTTGTGTTCTCTCAAATCCTAATCTTCTGGATTCTTCAACCCCTCTAGTTTCGACTCTCTAAACTTTTCTCACTGAATCATACTTCTTGAATAGTATCTTCTAATCCTAACCTCTCCGATTACTTCTAATTCCCTTACTACCTCTTCTACTATTGGATTTGAATTGACGATTACTTCTCTGTGCTGATGTGGTATGGCAACATGAACTGATGTACTTATGTACAAAGTTCTACGTTGCATCTGACTGACTGACTGACTACTGTTAAGCATGATGAGGTAAGTGACCCCACCCAACGGAAAACCAACTCGCCAAACACAAACAATCCTAACCAGTTAAAATGCTTGCTAGTCGGCGCAGCCTATGCTCCATCAGCGGTAACAAGCTTCAGTTAGTAAAATAACCAACGGAGAAAAACCAAATGCCAATTTGGACTTACTCTGCTCTATCTTCTAACCATAATAAAGGTTTAGCACCAGCACGTAAACCATGCGCATAGATTGATGCAATTTTTTGATAATTTTTACTAGTTTTTTTTTCAAGTAATTCACACCATGCAATATAGAATTCAGAACACATTGTACCAATACCTTGACGAAATAATAACTCAAATAATTCCATTGGTTGACTACAATATTCTGTCTAGAGAAATGGGATTTTTTTTAAGAAGAAAAAATATACAAAAAAAAGGATTAGACGCATTAAATTAGGCAAAACACGTAAGAGACATTTGTGTTACATCCGATTATATCCAGTTCCCAGATTCTACTAAAGATCTCAGTCAATGTAGCTGCTAAAACTGGACCACCATCCTTAAATATCTCAAGGGTCACAGTCTATCAGGACCTGCAGCTCGTCCTCGCTTCAGATTTCCTAACGCTTTTTCAACTTCATTAAGACTAGAGGGACTTACGTCGATTTGCCATTCAGGATGACTGGAGATCGTGGGTAACCGAAGAGTGGCTCGAGGCCAGTTGAACCGATCCCTAAAGTGTTCTGCCTATCGATCCAGTCTCCTGGATTGAGAATGAATAATAAGACCATCATTTTCAGAGATAGTCTCACTTACACTAGGTTTCCTAATACCAGTTTCCTTGATAAGTCGGAAAAGTTGTCTCCTATTGCCGATCGCCGCTGACTTTTGCTTTCGCCACCCACCACTGTTCACGGTCGTTGCGCAGGCTTTTTATCAGCCTGCGCCTAAGATGACTTCGTCCTTCATCATGTTCAGAGCCAGGTGGGATGAGTTTTCGGGCATCCATCAGGTCGGTGGATGTAACTGAGACCCACGGCTTCATTCTAGCCTTATCGTTAAACTTACTACAGCCTTTTTGATATCATTCCAACCTGCCTCCGGATGGGAATCGCTTAAATGGTCGCCTGTCTTTCTAGTTCCTCCTGAAATATATTATTAGCTTTATTATCATTAAGTAAAGCCCTAAGAGGCTTTCTTACGGTGTCTTTCCTACGTCCAGTAAGCCTCAAACAAATACGCACTCGCACTAGGGCATGATCTGAATCTAAACATGTGCCCCAGAACGAGCGACTGTCCTCTATCAAACCCCTCCATCTGTGGCTGATGGCGATGTGATCTAGTTGGGTCCAATGTTGAGACGAGTTCGGAGGTCGCCAGGTCAAAAGGTGCTTTTCCTTATGCTTAAAATTAGTGTTTGCTAGAAATAGACGGTTATCTGAGCATACTTGCAACAGACGGTCGCCATTGTCTGTTCTCTGAGCTGCGAAACCATAACATCCACGTACGTGTTTTTCATTTTCACTTAGTTTACCTACCTGAGCATTAAAGTCACCAGCCATTATTACTACATCAGAGTGGCTAACATTTTGGAGGAGATTACATCCGAACGACGATCAAAGTAATAGAATACATACAAGTAAAGGTACTTACTTTTAAACTGATTGGGCAAGATAGAAAAAACACATCAAAAGAAAGGAGTATTCATGTTAAAACAAAAGTTACACAAAATGCGTTTAAATAGTTATGCGTCACAGAAATCACTGATTTTTAAGAGAGTATAGACTGAGATATTTATTACACGGGTACTCGATCTAAAGAAGATGGTTTCCATTGGGGGATTACTTCATGAGCCTCTGAACCTAGGAGTCTAATTCATAAGAGAGTAAAACAACATTAGGAGATTGCAGCGAACAATTATAGGTTCATACGATATTTGTTTCCCCCGAGGATTTGTTACGCCTGCACGCAAACACGTCAACTTGATATATTTGAACTATTATTACGTGTTTACCCAGTCGGAAAACGAGAGCGAGGATCCGGTGACACGACATACTACTCAAATCCAATTATCCCAGCCCCTCATATTGAGTACAAAATAAGAAGACGTAATATGAAGTAGAACCTTTATTCCACCAGCATCCACAAAGTACGAGGTCCGAACCCAGAAGAGAAACAGGATTCCGAACTACGGATTCGGGACCGAGCCCTGGTCCTGGTCATAAAATGTTACAGATAATGCGTATTTATACATTTTGGTCGAATAGGAGACAGCATCGAAGTCTGTGACATTGACAGTTAAGAAGACCAATAGGAAGTAACATTTGAAGTGACATTGATAGTCAGGACAACCAATAAGAAAGAACATTTGAAATGACATTGATAGTCCGGGTGACCAATAAGAGACAACATTGAAGTATTTGACTTGGACAGTTAAAACGACCATAATTTTGACCAATAGGATTTGAACAATAATTGTCTTAGGATACTGGATGAATATCCTAACAGGATTGTGAAGCTAAGGTTTATCAGGTTCATCACCTGTATTCACCAACTCCATTTAAACCCGAGTTGGACACACGCTTTACATTTTACACATTGAAATCATCAGTCAATCAGAGCCGTTAGATCACCATTAGAAGAAACCTGGAAGCACTGGATGACCGTCTCGTCCTGGTATAGGACTCATCAGTAGTCGTACGCATCCACAACTTCTACACCTCTCAGGATTCAAACCCAGAATCGTCGGTCTTGCGCGCGAACGCCTAACCTCTAGACCATGTTCTCAATTTTGTAAACAACACCTGTGCCAAGATAATGCACTGAGTGAGATTGGTTTTCCTGGTAATCAGTATATACGCATGGCGCGTTGTTGGAGCATTTCGAGAGAGAGAGAGAGCGAGAGACACGAACGAGTTCACTGTTAGTCATACATGAGCTTCATTTTTTTTGTAAGGGAAAGTACTCAATATGTTTCAGACGTGAATTTCAAACTTGTTGTTCAAATGAGCGAAAAAATCCAACTTCAAATTCTTTCATCAATCAACAGAAACGTAGAAGTTCGTACTTACGTATATCAGTTCAAATTGTGATACCACAATAATAAAGAGATGGTGATAACGACCCCAATGCAAACAGTTTTGAGCCATATTATTCAAAATCTCTAAGCATCGATTTTTATCATCTCGTGGGACCCAACCAGATAGTGTCTACATCTTCTAGCAACATGACTCACTCACTCCACTTGTCAATGACTTCATAGATTTCTGCCATGTATGTTTTGGTTTGCCCGTGCCTAACTTTCTTCAAAACCTATTCCTACATCGCGAAAACATCACTCGACAAGGTAGTCAGTGGTTTGGTGTACGCAACACCGGTGTACTCAACCACTTAAACTGATACAGTTTCATCTTTCATTTACCAACACTTTGTGAATTATTCATAGAATGACATCTGTGTCCTAATAGCAGCAACACATGTACACAAAAATACAATCAGAATGAGATAAAAAACAATTTATCCCATGACATCTCCAAAATAATATTTTTATACCATCCTCTCGTTGAAGAAAACGAAACAGTAAATACGCACACACACACACACAGAGAGAGAGATAGAGATATGGATAAAGAGAGCAAGAAATTAACGAGAAATTAACACGACTACTCACGACTACTTATCTTGTTCACAGTTAGTTTTTATGCACACACACACACACACACATACACATGTTTTCAAATGACAATGATTGAAACCGAAGTGAAACAGAAAAACACGATTAATTTATTTGTGAAATCCATTAAGCATGAAAAAAAATCTGAGAACAAAATGTGTTTTCATGTGAGTACTTTGATCTTTGTTGGGTGTTTTTTTGACGTATAACTTACTTAGAAAAGAATTTAACACTAAAATCATGAAGTGATTAATGTTAGACTAGCCGACACTACTGGATGACTTGGAACTACTGGATAGTTAATTGGTCTGAGTATGGGACTATTCATTAGCAGGGCAGATCAACGACCCGTATACAAAGGGGGGGGGGTCGAATGCAGTCAGTCAGTCACAGGCAACGTAGAACTTCGTACGTAAGTACATCAGTTCAGCTTGCCATACCACATTAGCACAGAGATATAATTGTCAATTCAAATCCAATAGTAGAAGAGGTAGTAAAGTTATTAGAAGTAATCGAAGAGGTTAGGATTAGAGGATATTATTCAAAAAGTATGATTTAGTGAGATAAGTTTAGAATGACAAAAATAGAGGTGTTGAAGAATCCAGAAGATTAGGATTTGAGACAACACAAAGAATAAATGCACCGGCGCCATCGCGAACGGTTTTGAGCCATGTCATGCAGGGTCTTTAACCATTGGTGACTTTCGTCTCGCGGACCCTAACAGGTAGCCTACATCTACCAACATGACTCAGTCCACTTGTCAATGACTTCATGGATTTGTGCCATGTTTTGGTCTGGCCGCCCCTAACTTTCTTCCAACCTGTTCCTACACTACAAAACATAGCTTGTCGAGGCAGTCGGTGGTTAGGCATACGTAGCACATGTCCCAACCACCTCAACTGATGAAGTGTCACTACTGCGTCTATTGATCTGCCATTCTTACCTAGTACCCGATTCCTAATAACAGCATTGCTCACTCGGGTGTCCCAGGATATACAAGCAATGCTTTGAAGACACCTATGATCAATAACCTACGAATATCTTCTCCTCTCACTGGCGATGTTTCACAGCCATAAAGTAAGACGGATCGAACTACTGCACAGTATACTCGTCCTTTAGTCAGCAAACGGATATCTCGTCTACGCCATAAGTGACGCAGGTTGGCACGTTGGTCGAATACAAGACCATCGGTTTACGGGAGAAGACCTAACCTCTACATCTAGACCATTGATGTCTAGCTTTAATCAATTCATAATACTGTGCGACTATTATCGATTGTCTTTTGTGACCCATAATAACTGAAAGAGTTAGATTTCATTGGTCAAAGTTTTTCACTGGAACACTAACAATTCACTCAGGCAGCTAGCTAGTTGTCACTATTGAGCACATCATTGAAAATCATGAGCTAATCTTGTTATTAGGTAGGACATTTTATTTATGTTATAGATACTGTTTAGAAATAGATATGCTGATAATCTGCATGTTTCTGTTTTTAAACCAATCAGATTAAACGATAGGTTTATAAGCTGCTTGCTCTATAGGAATGGTGGAATTCATGTAGTCCATTGGTTCGGAATGAATAATTTCCTACTCTGTAGGATAAATACATAAATACATCAAAGACATATCGGAGCATACAACACCACTACTGAAACCATTTGGAATAGGTGTGGCATACAAACCAACAGAATCACTTCAATCAATCCGATGTAGACCAAAGGATAAAATGACAAAGGAAGAAAAACCAAATATCATCTACAAAATAAACAACTGCTCAGATTGTGAAAAACACTACATAGGACAAAGTGGACGACCTCTTCAGCTTCGTTTACGTGAACATCAATCAGCAGTCAAACGCCATGACAACGCTTCGCTTATATCAATACACACCGACAGTTATGTACATACATTCGATTGGAACAATGTGGAAATACTGGATAGAGGGGGAGGACAAAGAACTCTAGAGAATTTTTAGAAGCTTGGCACTCAGGCCAATCAGCAATCAACGAACACATCGACATTGACCCAATTTATCAACCAATCAGAAAAATCCTAAGCAAACATAAGATCAAGAACCAAATCAAAGACAGGGATACATTTCAAAATAAAGAGGTAGACGACGACAGGTTATAGGTCAATAACAACCAATCAAGATCGAAGTCAACAGGACGAGCTACAAGTCATACATAGATGAATTCGAATACTTCACTTCTGTGATGATGTTTTTTTTCCAGAAGAACAGTGCTCACTAGTGAGTAGCAGCTTCGTGAGGAAATTTTCGGAGTTCTAGTTTAGAAGACGTGACCAATTGAGTCCAACCCTGTCGGTTGCAGGCAGTAACTACCAAACGAAGACAAATGGGTGAGATCGCGCAAAATCCCTAGATCAATCAGAGTTAGACATTAACAACGTTGGGTGCCGGCCAAGTGGTCCGATGGTTAGGCGTTCGCACACAATACCGAAGGTACCGGGTTCGAATCCTGCGAGGAGCTGGAGTCGTGGATGAGCACTGCCACTGATAAGTCCCATACCAGGACGAAACGGCCGTCTTTCAGTGCTTCCAGGTTTCTAATCGTGGTCTAACAATGATTGATTGATTGATGATTCCAAATGTGTAGAAGAACAATTGATGAAAACTCCACAACCAAACTATATAACTCAGAGAACGAAACACCAACACCACACAAGATAAGTTATCAATAGTCACCAATCTGATCAATTCATTGATTGATTAATAGAACTTACAAGTTTAATCCAACTGTTCACATAGGCCTCATTGTTTTTAATTTCTGGTAAATTCGAAGAATCACGTATAGAACGATAGAGAACATTTTGTAAATCAGCACATTTGCCTAATGAAGGATAATTTTGTTCAATCCATTTAATGTATCTGTAAAAATGGGAAAAAAAATTTAAAAAACCATATTAGCACATACAATCGTCTGTTCAAATTCAATAATGGTAGAGATAGTAGTAGTAGTGTGGTGCGAGCTACTTATAAGTAGTATATGACGTGTCAACGTAATGTCTGGCAGCAGATGATGGGGGGGGGAAGATCAAGAAAGGAAGAAGAGTGGGAACACAATGGAATTTGTATGAAATGCATGAATAGTGAAATATCAGACAATGGATTGATGATTGATTGAAGATTTGCAAATTAACCGTTTACGATATGGTTTTCCTATTTTACCGAGTAAATCTGTAATTTTCGTTATATACAATTCGGTTGCCCTCGCCTGTGTTCTCCTTCACTACAGTAGTAGTATTAGGGATCGAAGATATTAGTATTGTTGTTAAAAACAGAATGAAGGACTTTGTGGACGCCCAATTTCGAGAAGAAACAGGCTGGATTTCGTAAGGATCGATCGTGTAATGATCAAATTGAATGGAACTCACCATTCTACATCAACTTCATCGACTAAGAGAAAGCATTCGATAGAGTGGATAGGAAAACACTGTGGAGGCTTCTTCGACACTACGGTGTGCTTGAGAAAATAGTTAACAACATACGGAATTCTTACGATGGATTCAACTGCAAAATCATACACGAAGGACAGTTAACAGACTCTTTCGAGGTGAAGACCGGTGTCAGGCAAGGTTGTTTACTCTCACCCTTTCTCTTTGTTCTGGTGATCGACTGGATTATGAATACGTCGACATCTGGAGGGAAGCACGGTATGAAATGGACAGCTAGGATGCAGATAGACGATCTGGACTTCGCAAATGACCTAACTCTTCTATCGCACACGCAACAAAAGAGGATCACTGTAGCAGCAGGTCTCAACATTCAAACAGGAAAAAAGCTAAATTCTCCGATGCAACACAACATGCACCAACCAAATCACTCTTGATGGAGATGCCTTGGAGGACGTTAACACCTTTACATATCTGGGCAGCATTATCGACAATCAAGGTGGATCCGATGCAGATGTGAGGGCGCGGATCGACAAAGCAGGGGCTGCATTTCTACAGCTGAAATATGTCTGGAACTCCAAACAATTTTTAACTAAAACCAAAATCAGGATTTTCAATACAAATGTCAAAACAGTTTTACTGTATTCAGCGGAAACTTGGAGAACTACGAAAGCCATTATCCACAAGATACGAGTATTTATGCACAGTTGTATACGCAAAATACTACGGATTCGTTGGCCAGACATGATCAGCAACAACGTGCTGTGGGAGAAAACAAACCAGATTCCAGTAGAAGAGGAAATCAGGAAGAAGCGGTGGAAGTGGATAGGACACACTACGAAAAGCACCCAACTGCGTCACAAGACAAGCCCTCACTTGGAACCCTCAGGGCAAAAGGAAAAGAGAAAGGCGAAGGAACACATGACGTCGAGAAATAGAGAAAGATATGAGAGGAATGAACAAACATTGGACAGAACTGGAAAGGGAAGCCCAGGACAGAGATAGTTGGAGAAAACTGGTGGGCGGCCTATGCTCCATTGGGGGTAACAGGTGTAAGTGAGTAAGTAAGTAAGATATTAGTCAAGACGTATAATTCATTGAGGAAACATTAGCAAGAGAAAGGATAGAGGTGATAAGGCATTCAAGTTAAGATTTGAGAGAACACAAAGAATGAATGCAATGGTGATATGCTTGTCAATTGATATGCTTGAAACTATTACAAGTTCGCCTTACTTGGTAAACGAAGTGCAGATAAATGATGCACATTGTTTACTGCTGAACGAAATAAATCCTTTTTCATAGAACAGAAAGAAATGACATGGTTCTAAATAAACAAACTTCTTATCAAACTATAAACAAAACAGATAAGTGATGACTAATTCATACTACTATCCATACTGTCACTGATACTACTGATAATAGTAGTATCACTAATAATAATAATCATAAAAATTGTTTATTTTGAAGCCAGTTTATATTTCTCACATGCAAATTAACAATAAATCATGCCACATGTAATTGATATGTCACATTTTTATTGTGGCAAGTGACACAATCTGATGAACTGTGACAACGTGCACGCACACACACCCACATACATACACACACACGATCACAACAAGTCAGTCAGATGCAACCTGGAACTTTGTATGTAAGTACAGATCAGTTCATGTTGCCATACCTTATCAGCACACACAGAGGAATGTAATTGTCAATTCAAATCCCATAAATAGTAGTAGAGGTAGTATAAAAAGGTATTAGAAGTAATCGGAGAAGTTAAATCACAACAAGACAACACAACACAACCATTAAAAAATGTATAGTGTTTTGAGAAAAGTAAAACAGAAAAAGGAAAAGGGAGAATAACTGATAAACTACTCTCCACCCGTAGAAAAATGCATTTACTAAACTATAAACAATAGTAAAATAGAGAAAAATGATATGTGTCCCATCACCCGAAAAAGAAACAGAGAGGAAGAATGTACAGAGTGTGTACAACGGAACAATAACCAAAATTCTGTGATGGATAGTTCAAAAACTTAAAGTGGACCATTTCTGTTTGAATTATTGTTTGATAATATTTCATATAGATGATATTGTACAGGAGATTTATATTCTACTGAATAGTAGGATGCCGTATTCAGTTCATTTCTGTGATGCTCATCAATTGATATGCTTGAATGATATGACGAGTGCGAAGACAAATGATCCAGTGACACGATAGGCTACTACTACTCTAGTACGAGCGTCTTAAGGCCCCAACTAAGTAGAGGAAGAAATATTGATAAAGCGTAGAAAAGTGTATTCTACAAGCACCCAGAAAATATGAGGTTGACAAGCACACAAATCGAGTATATTTATACATGATAGAAACGTCCTTAGTTAGAGTCACAAAAATAACGTACTAAAATAATCCATCAACCAAGTGGGAAATGTAATCTCAAGGTTAACGGCTCAGCCCATGCTTTTTCAAGTAAGTTCTGAGGATCTAACGTCCTCAACAAATTCAAATGAATAGGAATTTTTTTACCGGAAAACTTCATTAAAATATATATACACATTCTGGTGTATTTCTTATATAACACCAAGATAAAACTTAACAAAATATCTACCAGTAGGTAGTCATTCGCATGCATAGGATTTGTCCAGCGATTATCAGTTTCGTTCTAATTTGTAACTCATCCAGTGAATGTTAAGGTATTTTTGGCAAGTTAGTTTTCTACGAGATGGAGTCAGCATACATCCCATGCCCAACCCTTCTCCTTTATCTGGCGGGAGCTTGAGACCAACAGTAGCCCCCAGACGGTCTCTAGTGATAGTAATGAGGACGTTGGCGCTCACTTCGTGTAAAGGTTCTAATTTTGTAATTTTATGCTGAAATTCTGAATTTTTCTATTCCCGCACCAAAGACGCTTAGTTAACCTACAGCTTACGATTCCCACTCGAAAAATCCTTGACTGTCATTGTTTGATGGATTAATGTAGTACGTTATTTTGCGTCTTTCACCAACAGCGCTTCCATCATTGCATAAATAAGCTTGAGTTGTATGCTTGTGAACCTCAACCTTTCTGAGTACCTGTAGAATACATTCTCTCTACGCTTGTTCTGTGGTGCGAGCTACTTATAAGTAGTATATGACATGAGTGTAAACATAATGTCTGGCAGCAGAAGATGGGGAAAGATCAAGAAAGGAAGAGTTAGAAAACAATGGAATTTGTATGAAACGCATGAATAGTAGTGACAATAGATTGATGTTTTGCAACAAGAACAGTCCAGTTAGATATGATGAACTGATATTTTGCAAATGAACGATTTACAATATGGTTTTCCTATTTTACTGAGTAACTCTGTAATTTTCGTTAAATACAATCCGGTTGCCCTACCTGTGTTCTCGTTTACTACAGTTCTAGTTAGCGGGGACTGAAACAAATCGGATTACATTAGTCTATCATGTCACTACTGTAAACGTTCATCTTTGATCGGATTACCAAATAAGGCGAACCCGTAATAGCTACTGAAAGCATATCTATCAGATAGTAGTTAGTTATCAGAAGCGGATAAAATTGAAATCAAATGATGTGTGTTCACAAATCGGAAACACCAGTAACCTCATTATTATTATTATTATCCAAAGTTATTTACAACAACAATACTATGATTATCAGATATGTAATATCAAAAGGAAGTTTATTAATTTTTATGAGTATGTAATTATCATGTTTCAAAATGGAATAGAACAATCTTCTCTTGTTCTCAAATTTGTTCTTTCCCTCTTTTTTTTTCTAATAACAAATCTCTTGTGTTTTATTGTTTGTTAGTCTCAAACTAAAGAAAACACTAAGAAATTTTATCATACTACTTATACTACTACTACTAATGATTTAAGAAAATGAGAAATGAAGGAGAACATTTGAATATATATAAATGAATATAGTTCAATTTGATTTTCTCTCTCATGTTTAGTACACACATACAAATGGATAGAAGACAGACAGACAGATACAACGGAGAATTTCGTACGTACATAAGTACATCAATTCAGGTTGCCATACCACACATCAGCACAGAGACGAAACTGTCAGTTCAAATCCAGGAGTGATAGCAATGGTAGTACTATTAACAGTAATGGAAAAGATTAGGGAGCAAAGATATGATTCGAAAAGTATAATTCAGTGAAATAAATTTAGAAGGAAAAAGATAGAGATTATGAGGAATTCAGAAGGTTAGAATTAAAAAGCACACAAAGAGTGGATACACCTGTGCCATTGCAAATGATTCTGAGCCATGTCGTTCAAAGTCTCTAACCATCGATTACTATTGTCTCGCGGACCCCAACCAGGTAGTAGTCTACGCCTACCAACATGACTCAGTCCACTTGTCAATGACTTCATGGATTCCTGTCATGATTTGGTTTGACCGCCCCCAACTATCTTCCAACTTATTCCTACACTGCGAAACATAGCTCGTCGCGGCAGTTGGTGGTTAGCCATACGTAACACATGTCCCAACCACCTCAAATGATGAAGTTTTACTACTTCATCTATTGATTAAATGGATAGAAGAGAAAAAGAAACGAGTGTTGATAATAATCAGTGACAAAATACAAAGAAACACTGGAATAACGAGTGAATTTTAGTTGTTTACTTACTTACGCCTGTTAGTACACCCAATGGAGCATAGGCCACGCCGACCAGTATTCTCTGTCCTAATCTCTCCTCTCTAGTTATGTTCTTGGAGCTTCATCAGCACAAACTTCAGGTAGAGAAGTGAAGCATTCGAATTTCTCCATGTTTGACCTGTAGCTTGTTCTGCTAACTTCGATCTTGATTGGTTGTTGTCGTTGACCTTAAACCTGTCGTTGTTTGCACGTTTGTTTTGATTGTATACCCCCTTGTTGATCTGTTTCTTGATCCTATGTCAACTATGATTTTCCTGATGGGACGTTAGATCCTCAAAACTCATTTGGAAAAGGATTTTGGATTTTTCACATTTCCGCGCATAAAGCTGATCATTTGACCTTGAGATTACATTTCCCACTCGGAAAATCCTTGATTGATGTATTGTTTTGGTATGCTATTTTTATGGCTCTCCCAACGACGCGTTTCTATCATATATAAATAAACTCGATTTGTGTGCTTGTCAATCTCATATTTTCTGGGAGCTTGTAGAATACACTTTCTACGCTATATCAAGACTTTTTGATACCTTCAGCATGGCCTTGGGACGCTCGTGTCACTGGATCATTTGTCTTTGCTCTTGTTTACCAACTACAGTGAATTGGTAACTAGCATTCAAGCACATCTTATTGACGAGCATATCACTTACAATAAATAAATGCATTTTGTGTGAACAACATACTACTACTGATAACCGACAACTAATAAGTAGTAAGTATAACAAAGAAGTCATAAAATTACAAAATAAAACACTGAACAGAAGAAATAAAAAAATAAGATCCGAGTCAATGATAACATTATAAAAATGTAAAAAATCAACAGATACAAAATCATTACAAAAAAACGAAGGAAAAAATAATAAATGTGAAGAAAGGAAAAAAAATACTAAAAAAACCGGTTGACCTCAAAAAATAAAAATAAAATTAAAATAAAATAAAATAAAGAACAGAATCACATGACTGGAAGCCAGCCAGTGTGAAACGATGACATGTGAACACCACCAACACCAACAACAACACAAGAATCGATGATGAGAATAGGAAGAAGGAGAAGAGAGCAGAAGAAAGCAGAAGAAGAAGAATAGTAACCTAAAGAAAAATAATAATTTACAATTGAAAAGATGAGTAGAAATAAAAAGAAAAATGTGTATTTTTCAGGTTATTGAAGAGTATCGGGGGGGGGTGTGATTTTGACCGATCTTTATTATTAGGATTATGGGATTATGATTAGGATAAATTATCGACGGTGAATAGGCAGGCATATACAACAACACACACGTAGACACACACACACATGTACAGAAGATTGGTGTATTATTAGCCGGATAAAATCAAGAGCATATAGTTAAAAGTGTAACAGCTTTCAAGGGAATTAACCTTATTCACAATGAATACATAATAATTTTTTTTTGTAAATTAGAAGAAAACAGAAACTAAAAACCTTAAAATATAACATACATATACTACTACTAGAAGTAGAGAATAATCATCATAGATGTCTTAGAAGCATTGCTCGTATATCATGGGAAACCCGAGTAAGCAATGCTGTCGTTAGGAAACGAGTACTAGGTAAGGATGGCAGATCAATAGATGAAGTATTGAAACTTCATCAGTTGAGGTGGTTGGGACATGTGTTACGTATGCCTAACCACCGACTGCCGCGACGAGCTATGTTTTGTGGTGTAGGAGTAGGTTGGAAGAAAGTTAGGGGCTGCCAGACCAAAACATGGCACAAATCCATGAAGTCATTGACAAGTGGACTGAGTCATGTTGGCAGATGTAGGCTACCTGGTTGTGGTCGGCGAGACGAAAGTCATCGATGGTTAGAGACCTTGAATGACATGGCTCAAAATCGTTCGCAATCGCGCAAGTGCATCCATTCGTTGTGCTCTCTCAAATCTTAATCTTCTGGATTCGTCAGCACCTCTACCTTTGTCTTTCTAACCTTATCTCACTGAATTATATTTTTTGAATAATATCTTCGAACCCTAGTCTTCCTTATTAACATTAATACCTGTACTATCTTTATCACTATGGGATTTGATTTGACATTTGCATCTCTGTATGTTAATGTGTGGTATGGCAACCTGAACTTATGTACATACGTACGAAGTTCTACGTTGCAACTGACTGACTGACTGAGAGAATAACCAAATCATCAGTCAGTTAGAATGTAGAACTTTGTACGCACATACGCACATCAATCAGTACAAGTTGTTATATCACATGAACACAACGAGACAGAAATTGTCAATTCAAATCCTATTGTGGTAGAAGTTGTAGTTGTATTAGGGATTGAAGTTAAAATTTGAGAAAGACATCTTGATGAAAAAAACTTGAGAAGAAAGATAAAGGTGATGAGAAATTCAGAAGGTTAGGGTGTCAGTCGGTGGTTAGCCATACGTAACACATGTCCCAACCACCTCAACTGATGAAGTTTCACCACTTCAGCGATGCGCACTTGATCATAAGTCCCATAACAATCTAGTGCATTCAGGTTTCTTCTGATGGTGGTCGAGCATCGATTGATCTATGTGTAACTTAAAAATCTTCACAACCTCGTAATGAAATCACCTGTGCTCACTAATTGACTAGATTCATGAGCAATCTTCTCCAAGTTCTAGTGGGAAGTCGTAACCACTAAAATTCAACCTGTTCGGGTGCAGACAGTAACTACCGAAAAAAAACAGTGTATGAGGTTGCGCAACTCCGTGAATCAATCGAAGTTAGACATTAACACCGTTAGATACTAACTCAGTGGTTCAGACCAAAGGTCCTGGGCTCGAATCCTGCGAGATGCAGGAAGTCATGGATACGCACTGCCACTAATGAGTAGTCCCATACACCAAGACGAAACAGCCATCCAACAGAGTAGTGCTTCCAGGTTTCTCTTAATGATGGTCGAACATCATTGACCAACTCATAATTTCAAATGTATCACTTAACAATCTACACAATTCCGTAATACAATCATCCTTTATGCATGTGTTAGTGGGACATAGATGGAATTAAAGCATGACTACGTTGCTACGCGCTGATTGGCTAATTTCCTATCCAATCAGCGCCTGATCGAATATTGAAGAACAGGGTAGAAGATTCTCGTATTGTTAGCTGAATGCTGATTGGTTAAATCTAATCCAGTCGATCATGTGAGTTTCTATGCAGAAGCTTCTCATGTAAATGCTATAAATAGACTAACGTTGTATCTATTTTTACCTTCTTTACCTTCGCCATCACCTTTGACTTCTTATTTCCATTTAACCTTGTTATTTGGAATATAGCCTCTTCCCTGTTCAACCGTGTTTTTTGATTTCTTTGGAACACTTGTCCAGTGTATTGTATGATCAGAGAATATACTAAGCAATAGGATTTAGCTGGGAATTATCATCTAAGTAAGCATTACAACAGTATGTTGTTTAGTTACGTGTATTGTCAATAAATAAATAAATAAATGAACTTTTGAAAAAAACAGCAATATCACACATTAAATAAAAGAAAATACTACTTAATTAATAATAAATAATAGCAATAGTAATAATAATAATAAAAATAAAATTTCACCTGGAATACAATTGAAATTTTTCATTAGAATTCGATAAACTAGCCAATATTAATTCAAAATATCTAAAGATAGAAAAGAAAACAAAAAAAGAAGATAGAAATGTAAAATTTTTGAAAAAAGGAAAAAAATGATAGTAGTAGTAGTAGTAGTAGTAGTAGTAGTAGTAATTTGATCGATCGCTAACAAAAGGATGAGTGTACTACTGCGCAGCAGTAGTACAATTCTCCTCTATATGGCTGTGAAATATGGCCAGTGAGACTAGAAGATATTCGTAGGTTACTAGTATTCGATCATAGATGTTTGTTTAAGAAGCATTGCTCGTATATCGTGGGACAACTAAGTAAGCAATGCTGTCGTTAGGAAACGAGTGCTAGGTAAGGATGGCAGATCAATAGATGAAGTAATGAAACTTCATCAGTTGAGGTGGTTGGGACATGTATTACGTATGGCTAACCACCGACTGCCTCGACGAGCTATGTTTTCTGGTGTAGGAGTAGGTTGGAAGAAAGTTAGGGGCGGTCAAACCAAAACATGCCAGCAACCCATGAAGTCATTGACAAGTGGACTGAGTCACTTCGGTAGGTGTCGACTACCTGGTTGGGGTCCGCGAGGCGAAGGTGATCGATGGTTGCAGACCTTGAACGACATGGCTCAGAATCGTTTGCAATGGCGCAGGTGCATCCACTCTTTGTGTGCTTTGTAATTCTAACCTGAATTTCTCATTATCTCTGTTTCTCCTTCTGAATTTATCTCACTGAATTATACTTTTCGAATCATATATTTGCTCCCTAATCTTCTCCATTGCTGCTAATACTTCTATTATTGCTATCACTCTTGGATTTGAACTGACAGTTGCGTCTCTGTGCTGATGTGTGTTATGGTAACCTGAACTGATGTACTTATGTACGAAGTTCTGCATTGTATCTGTCAGTGTCAGTCAGTCATCGATATCAATTCATATCTTAATTAGCGCTAGTAATAATAATAATCCTAAAAGAGACTAAACAGAGCAGCATTCATGTGACTTATTTCGTTTTCGAATTATGTATATGTATATGTCCCAACCACCTCAACTGATGAAGTGTCACTACTTCATCTATTGATCTGCCATCCTTACCTAGAACTCGTTTCCTAACGATAGCATTGCTCACTCGGTCGTCCGAAGATATACGAGCAATGCTTCGGATGCACGTATGATCGAATACTAGTAACCTACGAATATCTTCTACTCTTAACGGCCATGTTTCGCATCCGTATAGTAGGACAGAGCGAACTGTTGCGCAGTACAAGCGTCATTTGGTTAACAAGCGGTTATCTCACCTACGCCATAAGTGACGCAAGCTGGCAAAAGCCAATCGAGCCTTCTGTATCCAATGTTATCGATGAATGGAGCATGTAAACCCACTGAAATAAAATAACAAGACTGCTAATCTCCTTTTTTTTCCTTCACAACTCAGCTTAAATAACTCTATAGAGTAGAAAGTCAGATTTTGTATAAAGTGTATATATTTCATAAAACCAATAAAACCATAGGCATTGAAAATTCAGGCGTCATTTGTATCACTATACGCAAATCCTTATTATTAGAATGAGGAAATATATACCACTGACTAACTAACGAGATATTTTTAAAATGGGGGAAACACAACTGTACGGTCAGTCAGTTAGTTGCAACGTAGAACTTCGTACGTATGTACATCAGTTCATGTTGCCATACCACATTAGCACACAGATGTAATTGTCAATTCAAATCCAATAGTAGAAGAGGTAGTAAAGGTATTAGAAGTAATCGGAGAGGTTAGGATTAGAAGATATTATTCAAGAAGTATGATTCAGTGAGAAAAGTTTAGAAAGACAAAACTAGAGGTGTTGAAGAATCCAGAAAATTAGGATTTGAGAAAACACAAAGAATAAATGCACCTGTGGCATTGTGAACGATTTTGAGCCATGTCGTTCAAGGTCTCTAACCATTGGTGACTTTCGTCTCGCGGACCCCAACCAGGTAGTCTACATCTACCAGTCTAGGTAAATAACAGGTGCTTTCGATTCGGAAATTATAAATTCAAATATGCGAAAATAATTCACAAAATTAAAGGTTTTAGTAGGCTATTTGGAATGGTAAAGCTTTCTCGACCTCTTTTAACCACTAAGGTCAGCGTTAGACAATCTTACTGGTCTTTTGAATACAAGGAAAAAACAGTCATCTAAGTGTTCTATTGTAATCTAACAACAAACATCAGTCTACATGAATCAATTCATAGGTGTCTTCGAAGCATTGCTCGTATATCGTGGGACACCCGAGTGAGCAACGCTGTTATTAGGAAACGGGTGCTAGGTAAGAATGGCAGATCAATAGACGCAGTAGAGAGACACTTCATCAGTTGAAGTGGTTGGGACATGTATTGCGTATGCCTAACCATCGACTGCCTCGTCGAGCTTTGTTTTGTAGTGCAGGTATAGGTTGGAAGAAAGTTAGGGGCGGCCAAACCAAAACATGGCAGAAATCTATGAAGTCATTGACGAGTGGACTTAGCCATGTCGGTAATTGTCGACTACCTGATTGGGGTCCGCGAAATGATAGTAATCGATTGTTAGGGACCCTGAATGACATGGCTGAGAACCGTTTGCAATGGTGCCGGTGCATTTATTCTTTGTGTTCTCTCAAATCCTAATCTTCTGAATTCTTCAACACTTCTACTTTTGTCTTTCTAAACTTATCTCACTGAATCATACTTCTTGAATAATATCTTCTAATCCTAACCTCTCCGATTACTTCTAATAACTTTACTACCTCTTCTACTATTGGAATTGAATTGACAATTACATCTGTGTGTGCTAATGTGTTATGGCAACATGAACTGATGCACGTATGTACGTACGAAGTTCCATGTTGCAACTGACTGACTAACTGGCTAAATGAATCAATATATATTCATTCAGTAATTTTTAATGTAAGCCGTAGAATATCATTTTCTCCTAGTATAAGATTCATCACAGGGAATTGAAAACCCAGGACCTACGGTCTTGTGTGAGCGCGCGCGCATGCGAATGCATCTTAACCTTCTCTCTACAACACAAACTACTGAATATTACACAATCCAGGTATAATTTTAAACCCAAATGAAATCATAACACAGACATACACATAACGAAGAGACACACACAGAGAGAGAGAGAGACACAAAGAGACAGTACATCAATTATTTTCCTCTATAGTACAATCCTATTACATAACATCAAAATAAAAAAAAATTACACATCAGATTTTAATTTCATCGGAATGGGGAATAAAATAATTGAATTTTTCCCATTAGTTATATATTTCATAGTTTGTAAATAATGTAATTGTAAACCGATTGGACAATTTTTTAATTGTATTGCAGCCAGTTTTAAATAATGTGATACATTTTTCTCAGCTAATGCCAGTACAAATTTTGCTTGTGCTTTACGACTTGCTTCAGCCTCGATAGCCATACAATGTTGTAATTCAATTGGTAAACGAATATTTTTAATTTCAATACGTTCAATTTTAATACCCCATAAATCAATATAGATATCTAATAATTGATGGATAAATTGTGATAAATATTGACGTTCTGTTAACAATGTATACATATTCATACGACCTAATACATGGTGTAATGTAGTCTGGGCTAATAAACATGTAGAATCATGTATATTTTTGACATGAATCACTGAAAGAATTGGATTAATAATACGATAATAAATGACTGTTTCTACACTCACTGTGACAGCATCACTAGTGAGAATATTTTGTGTACAAACATCCACAGTGAATAAACGTAAATCAACACGATGTACTATATCTAACCATGGGATAATAAATAATAAACCTGGACCAATAGAATTATTCCATATTACATGACCTAAACGAAATATCACTGCTCTTTCATAATGTTTAATAATATATAAACAAAATATTAATGAAAATGGTAAAGTAATTAATAAAAAGAAATAACTAAAAAATATTAAGATTTGTTCAAAATAAAATAATAATAACGGAAAATGATTTGATGTAATCAGATGAGTAGAATGTTGTGAATTAATATTCCATGAATTATTTTGTGATTGTTGTTGAACATTTTCAAACGATTGATCATGCTTTAATTTGTTCAATTCATATTGATCAATATTCAATAATTGTTTAGTTGTTGTTGTTGTTGGTGTATAATTTAAATGTCGCGCAAAAAATATCCGCCATTTTGAATGATGATAAGGTATTGTTGTTGTATTATCATCAATAGATCGTATAGTGAATTGTGTTTGCATTATGTATATAGATATTTTTTACAAATGTTAACATGGAATATAGAAAAATTTTCAAAAAAAAAATTTCTGTTGGTAATGTTTGTTTTGTTTATTGAATAAATAAAAAACACAACTTGCATTTATATTATATTTATCATGGATTTTAAGAATGAGATGAATTGTAATGTCATCAACGAATGAATGACAACAGAATAAGAAAGGATAGATTGACAAACATGAAAATAGACAAACACACTTTACCGATAAACAATTAGCCAATCATATTTTTCGATGACAGAAGATATATGATGAATGAAATGAACCAATGAAATTGTAAGAATAATGTATTTTTTTTTAAAAACTTACTGAACTTGTTTACTCAATCAGTCAATTGCAACGTAGAACTTCGTACGTACATACGTACATCAGTTCATGTCGCCATATCACATTAGCACACACAGAGAGATGTAATTGTCAATTCAAATCCAATAGAAGAAGAATTAGTAAGGGTATTAGAAGTAATCGGAGAGGTTAGGATGAGAAGATATTATTCAAGAAGTATGATTCAGTGAGAAAAGTTTAGAGTCGAAACTAGAGGTGTTGAAGAATCTAGAAGATTAGGATTTGAGAGAGCACAACGAATGAATGCACCGGCGCCATTGAGAACGATTTTCAGGCATGTCATTCAAGGTCGCTAACCATCGATTATTATCATCTCGCGGACCCCAACCAGGTAGTCGACAATTACCAACATGGCTAAGTCCACTCGTCAATGACTTCATGGATTTCTGCCATGTTTTGGTCTGGTCACCCCTAACTTTCTTCCAACCTATTCCTACACCACAAAACAAAGCTCGGCGAGGCAGTCGGTGGTTAGGCATGAGTAACACATGTCCCAACCAAGTGTCACTACTGCGTCTATTGATTTGCCATTCTTACCTAGCACCCGTTTCTTAACAACAGCGTTGCTCACTTTGGTACTTGTTTACTACAGGATTGATTGAAGCATAACAATTATGGAAGTATGGAATAAGTGAACAAACAATTGATTTAATGAATACATTGTATTCGGAATAGATTGATCTCAAGTTGGATGTATGCACTCACGATAGACCAGGGAAAAAAATCGAACATCAGTTTTATTTTAGTAAACACTTTTACAGTTTATAAACAGGTTGATAATCCTATGAAGTTATATTAGGAGGAGGTGGTCAAACTGAAATATGACACAAATTCATGAAGTCACTGACAAGTGGACTAAGTCATGTTGGTAGATGTAGACTACCTGGTAGGCGTCCGTGAGACAAAAGTAAGCGAATGTTTAGAGAGACCTTGAACGACACAGCTCAAAATCGTTTGCCATGGCGTAGCTGCATTTATTCATTGTTCGAAATGTATAGCGCAAATACATCACATTTTTCAGATCAATTACGTCTTCTCACTGTTCTATCAAAATTTATTCATTGTGTCTACTCAAATTCCTCATCATCTGTATATTTCTCTTTCTAAATTTATCTCACTGAATTATATTTCTCGAACTATATCGTCGAACCTTAATCTTCTCCATTACTGCTTATACTTCTATTATCGCTACTACTATGAGATTTGCATTGATAATTGCATCTCTGTGTGCTAATGTAGTATGGCAACCTGAACTGAAGTACCGTAGGATAAAGAATACGTGTTAATAGGAAAAATCTAATCATGACCATGAAATCATCACACGAAAAAAACCGACTGAAATTTTCAGTTGCAAATGGGTTAAATATGAAAGTGAGAACAATCTGAAGTGTATTCTACAAACATGGAGAATAGTGGGGGGGGGTAAATTGAACTGTTCAAATGTTAATTCAAGGCTTCTAGAGTTCTAATAAACAAGTATAATGATAAAGCGAGAATATAGTCATTCGAATTTGAAAAATATATTGTTATCGTATTTCTAAATTATTCAGTCAGTGATGATGTGCAACACGGAACATGGCATGCATGCATATGTATCAGTTCAAGTTGTCACATTATACAGGAGACGAAGTGTGATCACATTCAAATAACAACAAAGTTATCACAGTGTTAATGATAGAAATGGGTAAGATTAGCCAGAGACAATATGATTCGAGGAGAAAGGAAGCACTTCATAGAGTAGAAACAGATAACATACTATCAAAACTCAGTTACTAGAGGAAAACAAACAATGAACACACAGATTGCATTGTGATTGACTCTGAGCCAAATAATCCAATTTACAAATATTGGTCATCATAATCACGAAGTCAGTCAGTCAGTTGCAACGTAGAACTTCGTACGTAAATACATCAGTTCATGTCGCCATACCACATCAGCACAGAGATATAATTGTCAATTCAAATCCAATAGTAGAAGAGGTAGTAAAGGTATTAGAAGTAATCGTAGACGTTAGAATTAGAAGATATTATTCACGAAGTATGATTCAATGAGATAAGTTTAGAAAGTAAAAACTAGAGGTGTTGAAGAACCCAGAAGATTAGGATTTGAGAGAACACAAAGAATAAATGCACTGGCGCCATTGCGAACGATTTTGAGCCATGTCATTCAACGTCTCTAGCCATCGATTATTATCATCTCGCGGACCCCAACCAGGTAGTCGACAATTACCAACATGGCTAAGTCCACTCGTCAATGACTTCATGGATTTATGCCATGTTTTGGTTTGGCCGCCCCTAGCTTTCTTCCAACCTATTCCTACACCACAAAACAAAGCTCGGCGAGGCAGTCGGTGGTTAGGCATGAGTAACACATGTCCCAACCACCTCAACTGATGAAGTTTCACCACTTCATCGATTGATCTGACATTCTTACCTAGTACCCGTTTCCTAATAACAGCGTTGCTCAGTCGGGTGTCCCACGATATACGAGCAATGCTTCGAAGACACCTATGATCGAAAACCAATAACCGACGAGTATCTTCTACTCTCATTGGCCATGTTTCACAGCCATAAAGTAAGACGGAGCGAACCACTGCGCAGTACACTCGTCCTTTAGTCAGCAAACGGATATCTCGCCTACGCCATAAGTGACGCAGGTTGGCAAAAGCCAATCGAGCCTTCTGTATCCGTGCCGAGATTTCGTCAGTCACCAGGCCATCAGCACTGATGAGACTCCCAAGATAAGTGAAGCGGTCTACACGTTCGACCACTTCACTCCCTATCACTAGTTCAGGTGCCGATGACACCCAATCTTGAAGCAACATTTTGCATTTCGAGGGGGAAAACCGCATCTCGAACATGCTTGCATTGTTGCTTAGGGTAGTCAGAAAACTCTGCATTTTTTCAGCGTCTTCACCAAGTAGGACAATGTCATCGGCATATTCTAAGTCAATAAGCGAGCCACCCGGTAAAAGGTCTACTCCTGAAAATTCAGACGAGGATAAGGTAATTTCTAGGAGCATGTCTATGATAAAATTAAACAAGAATGGAGAAAGTGGACATCCCTGACGGACACCACTTGAAGTAGAGAATTCCGGTGACAGTTCTGCTAGTAAGGTTGACCATAAGGCTAGAATGAAACCGTGGATCTCAGTAGCATCCACCGATCTGATGGATGACTGAAAACTCATCCCACCTGGCTCTGAGCATGATGAAGAACGAAGTCAACCTAGGCGCAGACTTATGAAAAGCCTACGTAACGATCGCGAACAGTGGTGGGTGGCGAAAGCAAAAGCGATGGAAAAGGCAGCGGCGATCGGCAACAGTAGACAACTTTTCAGACTTATCAAGGAAACTGGTATTAGGAATCCTAGTGTAAGTGAGACTATCTCAGAATATGACGGGACTATTATTTATTTTCAATCCAGGAGACTGGATCGATGGGCAGAACACTTTAGGGATCAGTTAAACTGGCCTCGAGACACGAAGACGTTGACCGCGGTATTTGTACCTCTGTATCCACACACTTGATTTCAGTAGTGATTGACTTTGTGATTGAATGTCACAGGTGAGTTTTGTTATTTCCCAGTTTTCTTCTAATCCACTGCTTTACACAGAAAATCAGGCTAAATAACACGCTACATTTTGAATAAGATTCATTCTATAATTTATTAAAGCAATGTAAACTGCCGATTCACAAGAATCACTTAACTTGTTGAAATAAAGCGTCCAATGTAAAACATAGTAACATCGATTAATCAGTCGCAAAATTTGGATCTATCAAAAACATGTTGAGATGGATCATTTAAAAACCTCCAAACGACCTGGTATGGCCGAGATTAGGTAAATTGCTTCATAGAGCTCTAAATATTCTCAAATGACCACGAGTTTACAACCACTATGTGGGTACAGAGGATTCACTGAACACAGTTGAAAAACCATCATCTAGAAGTGATGAGACACATGCGTTCCACTACTTGATCATAAGAATGGCGTAGAAACACATCGTTGGTCACAAGCTAGCCTGGAACAGCATTTCGTGATGGTTGGTTTTGTACTGTCTTGTGGATTAGATCTGTAGAACAAATGCTCGACCAGTGATTTTCTAATGAATCCGCCTACTTCGCTTCTGCCAGTCAGCTAGTAGCTCAGTTAACTCACAAATGCAATTAGTTAACCGTTCGTTCAGGTCATCGATAGCGACATCCGCAATGAATTGTAGTTAAAGGAATAGTAACTTTTTTCGAATGGTCTGTCTCCGACTTCCTTTTTACTGTAGACATGTACTTCGCTAATAACGCTCTGAGGTTGCCTTCTTCAGTGAATAATTTGTTGGTAAACGTCTACTGTAAAGATCGTTTTGGCTCTGTTTATACGACATCTCACTAAATTTCTTTTGTAAAAGATAGGTGTACAACTATAAGTGTTGGCGATCAAAGGAACTCTCTTTATGCAAGAAGCCTCTACTACTTCAACTATAGATACACATGATGACGCGCAAACTACACTTGGATAACTTTTATGAGGCATCTTTAAGTCACTTAAATGAATGTTTCACGATGAGGACACTAACTTAACAGTTACTGATGCGTTTAGAAATATTACGGGTAGTTGGCATTA